ATTTCTGTATTCAAAAATAAAAGAACAGAAATTGAGGCTCAAAGCTTATTTTCCATCTCAAACGCGCTCCAATGATAAAAACACCAGAAATCTTCTTTTTTGAGATAAAACTATGAAAAAAAAATCAACAAAAAGGCCTAAAAAGGCTCGAAGGAATCTTACTACTCGACAAATCCCAAATTTCCTCCCACTGAGAACAATTAATCAACGACAAATCTGCAGATTGGAGCCAATGATACGAAAAAAAACCATTTTTCTTCCGTTCCACATCATTCAAAGCTTCCGAAATGTTCTTTTTCCGTTTGTTTTTCCTTTTTTTTAAGTGGATAATTGAAAATATTTGAAAGCAAAAAAAGGAAGGAAGCAAAAAAACGGGTTGAGAGCCTCACTATTGGAGGGTAAAAGCTGGCTTCGACTTTGAATAAAACATTCGAGTTGCGGGAAAAAAAACCTTTTTGAACCAAAAAGCAAAATGCAAAAAACGTATCGGCTTGAAAACAAAAAAAAATGGATCAAAAATCGGTAAGAAGATTTTTTTTAAGAAAATGAGTCCGAAGGTGCAAAAACTTTTCATTTCATTGAAAACATTGAAAATGCTGCTTTTTCGAATCGCTTTTCAATTCAATTTTTTGACTAAAATACCCAAAATTCCTCCATTTTCCAGTCAAAAAAGCACGTCAACTCGAAATGTCTTCTCTAGAGAAAAGAAAAAGTCCAAAATAACCTATTTTCGCATGAGCAACCGCCTAAGGTCAGCGTACGAAAGTTGTTATGAAGACTTTGGATTCTTTCGAAACGCCCTTTCAAAACAAGAAAAGCGACGGGAAGCTTGAAAACAAAACTTTAGGGAAAAAAATTAATCTTGAGAAGCTTAGAGCTTGAAAATGAGCGGGAAAGTTCGATGTTTTTAGGGATCGAAGATTAGAGGCTATAAAGAAAGAAGAGACGCAGACACAATGAGAAAATGGAGAAATGTCTGATGTCTCCTAGCTTTCTATACTCTCTCGCTTTCCGCCAAGTTAATGTAGGTTAGAAAAAGCTTCTCCTTTTTTTGGGGGGTTTGTTGAATCCAATCTACCACAGATCAAGAAAAAAGGAGCCAGGAAAAGAAAAAAGAAAAGAGAGAATGTCTAGGACCTCCAAACTTCCCATTTTCTCTTGCGGCTTTAAAAAAATTGACTCCTCAACACCAAAAATAGGCGAAAATCTTCAAATTTAACGATGAAATAAAAAGAAGCTAACCTAAAAGCTCAAGTAAAACTCCAACAAAAAAGGTTGTCGCCTTCTCTTTTTTTCATCTATTTTCGAACCCGACAGCTCGACAACTAATTGAAAAGTATCCTTGCATTTCCATTTCGGAATGCATTAGCCCACATCCCCAGCAGAACTGCAAAACTTTGGAACGCAAATAAAATGATCTGTTCTTCTTCTTCTTCAGTTGCCAAACGAAAAGAGGGGGGAAGGAACGCATTCCATTAGGATTGGAGTGGAGAAAGTCCGAAGAACCAACGAAAAATTGAAACTTTGAAAGAAAGTTGAATTCTTTTGAAGCATTGAGCCTTTCGAGAGTAATGAAACTCTGAAAATTGTCTTTTTTTTTTCAAAAATAAATAAAATTTCTATCAGAACTGATATTGATCATTTTGTCACATACATCGGCTGGATACCACCCCAGCCTTTAGCGTGCAAAAAAAAAATTTGAAAATGAGAACCTTGTGGTGGGATTCAGCCGACGTATGTTTAATCACGATTTAAAAGAGTCTGACCTGTCTTCGTCTCTTTTCCCTCGCCGGTGGGGCTACAAAAACGGTAAAAAAAAAGCATAGTAAACCTAAAAAGTGCAAAGAAAATAGAATTTTGATGAGAAGAGTCCGATTTTTGAAATTATTCCAAATTTCTGAAGGCCTTATTTTGCAACCTTATGAGCTGGGGACTATTTTCCGGATCTATAAAAAGAATTTTGATCATTTTCAACAGATTATAAAAGAGCTTTCAAGAGCATTCAAATCCCAGATAAGCTGATAACTTGATGATAAAAAGTGCAAATATATATTTTTCCAATGCTTCAAAGGCACCTCCACTTTCAGATTTTTTTTTTTGGCGCGTAGCTCAGTTGGTAAGGGTCTCGTTAAACATCCGCAAGGTCACCGGTTCGACTCCTTCCAGAGTTTCCCAAGTTTTTCATTCCACCAAGGAAAAAAAATGATACTTTTACAGAGAGAAAGCCTCACCTGGGAAAAATCTTGATTCTGAAATTCTCCAGACAAATTCTAGTTTTTATTCCTTACAAGAGATACGGTCGATTCATCCATTCCACCTTAGATTCTCAGTCTTTCAAACTGCCTCTCAAATAAATTTTGAAATTCCCAGTTTTTTCCAGTAATCTTCATTCTGAAGTTGTAAGTTGATTCTGCATTTCCCCAACTTCTCTCCGTCGCATGGATTTTTCCACAGATACCAGAAAAAGGAGATCCAGCCGACTTAACCATTCCAACTTAGATCCTCAGTCTCCTCCATGAAATCCCATCCGAAAACCCCAAAAAACCTAAAAAGAAACTCACATTCAGGCCGGCTAGTGCTGACCCAGGCGACAATCTTCTCGCTGAATTTCCGAGCCCGTTCTTTGGCGCTCATCGAAAGCGACCGCGCCATCACTACGTTCTACTACGGTAAGTTACCAGAGTACAAAAAAAAACGGAAAACGAAATATAATCAAGATCTAAGATTCAAAAGCCGTCAGAGAGCAATTTTAATTTATAAGATTGAGATCGGTTTTAAAAAAAAGGTTGTCAGACCGCATTTAGATTGGCTACTTTTTGTCATATGTACGTTAATTGATGCCAAAACCCATTTATCATCGGAAACAAAAAAATTAAAAAAACCGATTTTTGGGTCACCAACATTGTATAGAAAAATGAAAAAAATTAAAAATTAAATTTCAAATTTTTTTCTTTGTTCCACTAAAAGTACAGTAATCGTGTGATAAAAAGTAAGAAGAAAAAACCAAAATTCAGAGCCGCATTTGGAATGGTTCGTTTTTTTGCCAACTAGAAAACAACAATCCTCGATTTGAGTTGAAACTACAAAAAAACGTTGAAAATACAGTAAAATCATTTTTTTGGTATGGCTTTTTTAGACGGAAAAAGTACTGCAAAACAATAAAAAAAATATAAGTTTCTGACCAAAAATTGCAAATTCAACATTTCAGCTATGAAAATAACCAAATCAGGCTTTCAAACTCACTAAACCAGTCAGATCAAAAATATTTTTTTCAAGATCCTCTATCAAAAAGGTTCTCAAAGCCAGAAGAAGCGACAGAAAATCGAGCTTATTAACCAAAATTCTAAATTTCTCAAAAATAGACACGAAGCTCGAAAAAGTTCAAAGAAACATTCCGAACCAAAAAAATAACTCTTTTTTTGTTCCGCGCAAGAGGATTTGCTGTGAAGACGTAGAAGAGGCGGCGGATAATCCCAATTTTCCAAAAAAAAAAAGACAGAAACCTCAGAGTTTCGACTTGAGAAACCTATAGTTCATTCAAAAATGGAATGACGTCACTGATTGGCCGCCACGCCCATTTTTCGCTTTTTTGCATTTTAAAAATATAAAAATTGAAAAAGGCTTCTCCGTATGGAGATAGCTACACGGGAACGGATCTTTTGAAAACCAAAAATGAAAGGAAAAAAAAACTGAATTGATGCGTTTAATTAAGGCCCCAGGGACATGCGAAAATTGCCTTTGCTTGTTTATAATTGCATCGCATTTGGAAAAAAAAAATAAAATGAAATCGAAAAAAAAAGTTAATGAAAGAAGGAGACCAGTAGAATCAACTAGATTTTTAACCTTATTAGAAAAAATTTTTTTTCATTTTTCAGTCAGAAAATTTTTTTCATCTAACCAGGGAACGTTTTTGAAAATGAGCATTAAAAGTTGAAATTCCTATTTAGAACTACTACAAGAAATACTCTCTTAGTTAATTTATAGGTTTTCGTAAAACTAACTTCTATATCAACTTGGAAACAACAACCAAAACTTCATTTTTACTTGGAAATCTTAAAAAATCTACAATAGAAATAAAAATAAACTTCTGGACAGAGTCTTCCACAAATCCTCGCGCAAAACTTCAAAAAACGCCGAAAAAAAGACAGAAACCACAAAAACCCAATCAAAGGCAGCAAAGTAACCTAATGCCCATCCAGAATGATGCACCAAACGTCTGTGAAATATGGCAAAAAAAAAACGGGGGTCTGGCGGAAAATTGAGACGTCGCGAAACAAAAAAGGCCAGCGGGGGCGAAAAAAAAAATGGAATAAAACTAGGAGAGAAGAAGCTGAAAAAGTGCACAGAGCGGATTTCCCCGCCTGCGGATGACTTTTTTTTTTATTGGACGAATTAGAAAGTCTTCTGAATACTATTAATGCGCTAAGTGGTTCCTATAGACGTTTAAAGCTCAAAAAAATGTCCACTTTAGTGTCTGGAGGTTTGAAAATGATTTCAATGACGTGTTTGACTCTTTTTTAATTGATGATATGGTTCAGAAAGTCTAAAATTTTGTTAGTATAAGTGTCCCTTGAGTGGCTATCGGCTACACCAAAGTGGTTTCTTAAGTGGATATTTTCTCAAAAGTGACCACTTTAGTGTCTGAAGGCTTGAAAATAACGCGTATGACTTCTTTTTTCAGTTGGTGGATAACTGAGAAAGTGTGAATAAAACTGATTTTGGAATAAGTGGTCTTTTAGGAGGCTCAATGCTAAATAGTGACCACTTTAGTGCCTGGAAGCTTATAAATGACTTTAATGACTTCTTTTTCAGTTGGTAAAAAGTTTAAATGCAACTACTGTTGGTATAAGTGGTCTCTTGAGGGGCTAAAGGACTGAGTGCTCCAGATTGATTCTCTAGAGTGACGGAAAACTTTGAAACAGTCCTTTAAGTAACAAGAAGCTCGAAAGTGGCCACTATAGGGGCGGAAGATGAAAAATGATTCTCTTGAAGGCTCTGCGCTAGAAAAGAACTCCTACAGTGATTTGAAGCTTGGAAGTGATCACTACAGTGACAAGAAGCTCGAAAATGAACAAAATGACTAAAAATTCAGGAGAAAATTAAAAAACTGTTCAAATAATCCACTTTCGAGAATCATCATTCTGATATCTTTCAGGACGCTCTTCAGAATAAAAAAATTTAAAAATTTCAAAAAAATCTAATTTTTTTCTAAAAAAAGATGCCTTTAAATAGGAAAGAAAACAGAAGGATCTTCGCTTTTTGGAATGAAAAAAATCGGCTCATTTGCGATTCAGAGATTCGGCAGCCTCGTTCCTTTCTTTTTTTGCTTTTTAGAGAATCCCAGTCATTTTTAAAGTTTTTCTCGGAGTTTCTAGTTGCTACGAAACGTAGGGATTGGAGAACTACTTTTGAAATTTCCATAAAATTAATACATTGATGACAATTCTTCGTCACAAAATCAAAGAAAAAAAGTCGGAGAGTTATAATTTCAATTATTCCGAAAACAGAAAAAAATAATAAAGTTATAAAAAAAGTCCCGGCAGATCGTCAAATCTCCACCACTGAAACCCAAAATTCCCTATTTTTTAACTCCAAACCTCTCTTCACCCAATTTTCTGTTCTTCTAGAAAGTTTCTATGAACCCCATATTTTCCTAAATGCAATTTAGACACTCCCCGAACTTAAAAATCGAAAAAGAAAATCTCCTCACAAGGTTGATATTTTCCCGGCTGATAAACACCAGAATGACCATCACTATCGACTTCTTCCGGCTCCAAACGGCTTCGATTCGGATTTTGCTGAAAAAAAAAAATAAATCGAGACTTCTAGCTTTAATTGAGATAAAAATCCTTATAGAACCTAAATAAGTCTTCTTAAAACTTAAAAAATCCTTTTTTGAAGATTTAAACTTTAAAAAACCACTTTTCGTCGAATTCTCTGCCTAACAAGTCACCATCCAACTTTTTTGCTTCAAAAATGTTAATTTTGCATAGATTAAACTATTTTTCAGTTTCACAGTAAGCACAAAATCAAAAATAGTATATATTTCCAATAGGTCGCAAAAAAAATTACAAAACTCTCAAAATTTTACCTTTAAATGTTATGTGTAAAGGAACTGCTCAGGGATCACACTGGTTTGTGAATAAAAATCTTTCATGAAAACTGTTTTTCTTTCTCTTTTTCTTCAGATTATCCATTAAGACCTCGTACAAAAACGAAAAAAAGTCAAATTTGAAACCTGAGGTTTGAAAAGAACTGGAACATGCTGATGACCGTGGCCAAGGTCATCATCGCCAAGAATATCCGTTTCCCTGGCCGAAGATTCGTAAGGCGCCGACGTTGGAACTTCTTCGTAGAGGTGTCTGATATCGTAAAAAATTCATAGAAATCAAAATTTTGTGACCGTACTTTTTGGCTATTTATTCATAAAGATTTTTTACAGTTTAAGACCAGTTTTTAGCTCATTCCGCAGTAGCTTGTGATTCCGAGAGATCTGAGTTAAAGGAATATTCCTAGAAACTTTCTTTCGATGCGCGCGACCTTTCTCTTTGTAGGTGCCTTTAATAAGACAGTAATGTCAGGCGTTATTGAAGGCGCATGCAGGGCGAAGAGTTCTTGATCTTTTCTTTTAAATTTGGCAGCGCCTAGATATTCTCAAAATTGGCAGCGCCTAGATATTCTCAAAATTGGCAGCGCCTAGAAATTCTCAAAATTGGCAGCGCCTAGATAGTCTTAAAATTGGCAGCGCCTAGATATTCTCAAAATTGGCAGCGCCTACACTAAGAATAACTGCCGAGATAAACGCGAGACACTGGCGGTACATTGACGAGCTCGCAAATATCTCGCTTTTTTTCTCGCGCCGGTTTCGCATTTGTCTGGGCGCGAGCTCGCATTTTTCTAGGCGCGAGCTCGCATTTCTCTCGCAATTTGAAAATTTCCGAAATGCGAGATAAATGCGAGATGGCGCCAAGAAAAATGCGAGGTCGCGCCGAGATAAATGCGAGATCGCGCCTAGAAAAAAGCGAGATGTTTGCGAGCTCGTCAATGTACCGCCACCGACCTCGCGTTTATCTCGTCAGTTATTCTTAGTGTAGATAGTCTTAAAATTGGCAGCGCCTAGATATTCTCAAAATTGGCAGCGCCTAGATATTCTCAAAATTGGCAGTGCCTAGAAATTCTTAGAATTGGCAGCGCCTAGATATTTTTAGAATTGGCAGCGCCTAGATATTCTCAAAATTGGCAGCGCCTAGAAATTCTTAGAATTGGCAGCGCCTAGATATTTTTAGAATTGGCAGCGCCTAGATATTCTCAAAATTGGCAGCGCCTAGATATTCTCAAAATTGGCAGCGCCTAGATATTTTCAAATTTGGCAGCGCCTAGATATTCTCAAATTTGGCAGCGCCTAGATATTCTCAAAATTGGCAGCGCCTAGATATTCTCAAAATTGGCAGCGCCTAGATAGTCTTATAATTGGCAGCGCCTAGATAGTCTCAAAATTGGCAGCGCCTAGATATTCTCAAAATTGGCAGCGCCTAGATATTCTTAGAATATTCTCAAAATTGGCAGCGCCTAGATATTCTCAAAATTGGCAGCGCCTAGATATTCTTTCTCTAACGGGTATTTTGCATTTCGCGGAAATTACTTTGAACACGGCATCAAAATTGGCAGCGCCTAGATATTCTCAAAATTGGCAGCGCCTAGATATTCTCAAAATTGGCAGCGCCTAGATATTCTTAGAATTGGCAGCGCCTGATATTCTCAAAATTGGCAGCGCCTAGAAATTCTTAGAATTGGCAGCGCCTAGAAATTCTTAGAATTGGCAGCGCCTAGATATTCTTAGAATTGGCAGCGCCTGATATTCTCAAAATTGGCAGCGCCTAGATAGTCTTAAAATTGGCAGCGCCTAGAAATTCTCAAAATTGGCAGCGCCTAGATATTCTCAAAATTGGCAGCGCCTAGAAATTCTTAGAATTGGCAGCGCCTAGATATTCTCAAAATTGGCAGCGCCTAGAAATTCTCAAAATTGGCAGCGCCTAGATATTCTCAAAATTGGCAGCGCCTAGATATTCTCAAAATTGGCAGCGCCTAGATATTCTTAGAATTGGCAGCGCCTGATATTCTCAAAATTGGCAGCGCCTAGATATTCTCAAAATTGGCAGCGCCTAGATATTCTCAAAATTGGCAGCGCCTAGATATTCTTAGAATATTCTCAAAATTGGCAGCGCCTAGATATTCTCAAAATTGGCAGCGCCTAGATATTCTTTCTCTAACGGGTATTTTGCATTTCGCGGAAATTACTTTGAACACGGCATCAAAATTGGCAGCGCCTAGATATTCTCAAAATTGGCAGCGCCTAGATATTCTTAGAATTGGCAGCGCCTGATATTCTCAAAATTGGCAGCGCCTAGATAGTCTTAAAATTGGCAGCGCCTAGATATTTTCAAAATTGGCAGCGCCTAGATATTCTTAGAATTGGCAGCGCCTAGAAATTCTCAAAATTGGCAGCGCCTAGATATTCTCAAAATTGGCAGCGCCTAGAAATTCTTAGAATTGGCAGCGCCTAGAAATTCTTAGAATTGGCAGCGCCTAGATATTCTTAGAATTGGCAGCGCCTGATATTCTCAAAATTGGCAGCGCCTAGATATTCTTAGAATTGGCAGCGCCTAGAAATTCTCAAAATTGGCAGCGCCTAGATATTCTCAAAATTGGCAGCGCCTAGAAATTCTTAGAATTGGCAGCGCCTAGAAATTCTTAGAATTGGCAGCGCCTAGAAATTCTCAAAATTGGCAGCGCCTAGATATTCTCAAAATTGGCAGCGCCTAGAAATTCTTAAAATTGGCAGCGCCTAGAAATTCTTAGAATTGGCAGCGCCTAGAAATTCTTAGAATTGGCAGCGCCTAGATATTCTTAGAATTGGCAGCGCCTGATATTCTCAAAATTGGCAGCGCCTAGATAGTCTTAAAATTGGCAGCGCCTAGATATTCTCAAAATTGGCAGCGCCTAGATATTCTTAGAATTGGCAGCGCCTAGAAATTCTCAAAATTGGCAGCGCCTAGATATTCTCAAAATTGGCAGCGCCTAGAAATTCTTAGAATTGGCAGCGCCTAGATATTCTTAGAATTGGCAGCGCCTGATATTCTCAAAATTGGCAGCGCCTAGATAGTCTTAAAATTGGCAGCGCCTAGATATTCTCAAAATTGGCAGCGCCTGATATTCTCAAAATTGGCAGCGCCTAGATAGTCTTAAAATTGGCAGCGCCTAGATATTCTCAAAATTGGCAGCGCCTAGATATTCTTAGAATTGGCAGCGCCTAGAAATTCTCAAAATTGGCAGCGCCTAGATATTCTCAAAATTGGCAGCGCCTAGAAATTCTTAGAATTGGCAGCGCCTAGATATTCTTAGAATTGGCAGCGCCTAGCTAGGCAATTTTCAAAAATCGAGCTTCATTTAAATTTGGCAACTTTTGGCAAATTCACAGCCGATTCGCGACTTGGGGGCAAAGGGGCGTGGCCTGTCTGCGCCCTCATCCAACCAGGCACTGTCTCTTTTCTCATCGTGTCAGACCCTTTTTTCGATGTCTCAAACCAGCCGTGGATCAGCTATACTTTAAGTTTGCCGATATTTCCCACTTACGGTACCGCAGTCGGAACCTTCATGATAAATTTCAAATATTCAAACCCCAAAACTGAAGTTTTTTATTTAGTCTACAATCCCCGTTCTATTAAAGGCGCATGCACAGAGGCAGCCCGCGCGCGTCGAAGTTAAGGGTTCTGTAGCAGGGAGGGAAATCAAAATCGGGACAAGCTGGCGCTATGTGATTTCACTGATATAGTCATAATATTAAAAATGAAGGAAAATTTTACATCGTGCTCAATAGTGCAGACAACTTGCTCTATTCTCCCCTCCACGAAAACTAACCGAGAAGCGGATCCACTGGATCCAAATCTCTGCCCTTGAGAGTTGGCTTTGGTTTCCCGGAAGCCGTGGTAGAACTGCGGTCCTTGCGGGTTTTGGTGTTGGTTGACGTTGAGTTGGGGCGGGGACCCGTACCGAAGGTACGATTCCTCGTCCCTCCGTCGTTGTTCTCCACTATTCCTTCTCGTGAATGAGATGTCAGCCTTTTCCCGGTCGTTTCCGTAGGCTGAAAAAAGAAAAATGTTATAATTTTGAAGTGCAGGTAACGAAGAAGGTAAGCTTATCTTTATGAAAATCTCTCGTTCTTGATTTGCTAGATGAAGCTGAAAAATTATGCTTCTTTAAAAAAGGCGCTGTAAACTCTAATACAATCTCACAAAGCCATGAAAAATCAATTTTCCCCTCATAACTTCCCCCAGAAGAAACTCAGACGTTTAGAGCTGAATACCAAGAAAAATCTGTCTTAGCTGGGTGAAAAAATGCCAAAAGATCTACAAGCCGTGCTTATATGGGTTTTATACGGGGGAACCCGCTGAGAGCCCGTTTTAGCCCGACTGAGCAATCAGCCTTTTTCATGAAACGAGAAAAAGATTCAAAAACGCATCGCAAACGCTGCACATGAACGTTTCAAGCCGAGAAAAACGGATTAATATGACCATGAATATTTCAATAAATTCAATTAAATACGAACATCCAACAACCACAGGAAAGTCCTTGGGCCTAGGAGGATGGTGTTGTTGGTAAGCTCCCCCGTGGGAAGGATGAGGTGGCGGAAGATCTCCAGAAGCGGCGCCCCTCCTCGAATACGACAACTCCATGACCTCGCCGCTGTTCTGCCTTTTGAAGGCCGCCAAAGAGGAGGAGGAGGGCTTCCCGCGGTTGTTACCCGGGACAAAGTCTTCATAGTCGACGATGGGTTTCTGGCGATGCTGGGAGCTGGGCGAGGCCGAGAGTCGCGCCAAAGCCGCCGAATGTCCCTTCGAGGGGGAGGGATAGTCGTAGTCCGGCTGCGACGGCGGCATCGTCACCGGCGCCGCCGAGTTGGGCAGACGGCGCATCGACTGAAAGAAAATAGTTTGAAGAAGTCAAACTGATGACAAAAAATGCATGAACCTTACTGATTGTTGTTAAACGTTTGAAAAAGCGCTAATTGAAAGAAAAAAAGGCTTATAGAATAAATCAACGCCTAGAACTTTTAAACCGCGAAATTCGGTTTTCGACGTCTCGTTTCAAAAAAAAGTTGCCCAAGTTGGAAGAGGTCAAACTTTTGAAAAAAAAAATTTAAAGACGATAACTAATTGTTGTGAAAAGTTTGAAGGAGCGCTAAAAAAAAAGGTTTAGAAAATATTTACTGCCCAATTAGGCATTCGATATTTCAACTGAAAGAAGAGAAGTTTTGTAAATTTAGAGAGGTCAAAACTTCGAAGAAAAAAAAAGAAGTATGAAGTATAATAATCATTAGGGGAAGTTTAAACAAACACTGAATCAAGAAAAAAAATTATCTTATAAGATCAAATATCGGTTCTAGAATTAATATACCAGCGAATTCGGCATTCAACGCATTTGCTGAAGTGAACTACACAGAATAATTCTGAAGAGGTTAAATTCGAAAAAACCCCTCATAACTATTTCCTCACAGTTCAACTGGGAAAGGTCTAAAGAGAAAAATCCTCTTGATTTCCTATTTAAAAAAAAGTTAAATGCATCTTTTCAACTCCCAATCTTAAATTTTACATGAAAAATTCCAGAAAAAAAACACCTTCTAACTAAATAAAATAGTAAATAAAAAAATAACTGCTTTGAAAAAAATGAGAGAAATGAGAGAATTCGCAGTGAAAAAAAATAGATACTTTTAAAGAATGAAACAAAAACTTCAAAAAAATTATCAACATGAGTAAGTTTTTAGCTTAAATTCGTAAGTGACATCATAACTACAATTTTGAAAAAAACCTGAAAAATCTATAAAACGTTCAATATTTCTTCGACCAACAGGCGAAATTACTGTTTCTCGGAAAACTGTCGATTTTAAAAATTGCGCATACACGTTTACTTTTTTATTTTAAACGTGCAGAAGAATTTCCCAGAAATTGAAAAAATTTGGAACGAGAAGAAAACTTAACTAATGGAACTGAAATCAAAAGAAATCAAAAGCTCACTCCTAATGAAAAAATCTTTTTTATTCGAAAAACGTTCAAATAAAAAAAAAGCCATCTATAAGTATTAAAAAAATTTTTTTTTCTTTTTTTTCAGATCTCTGCTAGAAGCAAATTGATGAATTATACAATAGGAAAGATATTAGACATTCACTAAGACGACCTTTTTAAAAGATTAAGGGAAGAAAGGATCGTTTTTTTCTGATAATTATCATCTTCGGCTTTCGAAACGAACTATAATTTTTCATAAAGGGGAATGAAGGATATAGGAATCGATAATCAGTACATTTTTATCCACAAAATTGATGATTCCAAAACAAAGGAAAAAAGCAATTAGCACACCTGAATAACGGACGAGACGCCGGTGGCGGGGGCGTCACGTCGTTGAAAGGAATAAGTTCGCCGTTGCTGGGACACGTAGACCTCGTCGACACCTTCTTCGTTCACCGGAGTACCACTAGAATTGAGTAAAGTTGAAAAAAATGGAGTGAAGGTGAAAAAGCATCCATTTTCTGATTTTCACTGGAAAAAACTTGTTCCATTTAAAGCTCGAATTTCAAGAAAAACTCTTTGAATACGCCTTGAAATAAGGAAAATTGAAATAAATGTAATTGAAAGCAGAAAAACAACCAAAAAGTGGAAAATAACTTCCAAACTCATGAATGATAAATATTTTCCATTATTTTTAGCTCTCAGTCCGAAAATATTGTCAAAATAAAAATAGAATATACACCACTTTCTCCACTTATCGGAGGAGAACCATTAAAACTGAGAAGAACATTTTTTTAAGAAAAAAAGCATTATTTACTTTTTTTATCAAAAAAATTCTTCCATTTAGAGCTTGAATATTGAAAAAAATTAACTTCTTAATCATGAACATAACCAAAAAAAACTATTATTTAAAGCTTGAATCACGAGAAAAAATGTTCAAAAAAAAAATTTTAGAAGCTGAAAAATGTAGTTCATCTTTCATAACCAGAAAAGCAATTCAGGAGTTAGAAAGCAAATTTATATCGTACGTTCCATTAACTACTAAGAACTGAATATATTCTGCTCATTTTCTAGGTCTCATTCAGTAAAAATTGTCAAAAAGAAATAATAATATATGAAGTTGGAATTGACTAATCAATATTCGAGAATTTTAGCATGGTTCTTTGCCGAACATAGTAAAGTTAGAACCTCCATAGAAAAATATATTTTTAAAAAAACAGTTTTTTTATTGACTTCAATATAAAAAAATTCACTGATAATGATGATCATGAGACTCAAAAAGTAAGAAAATTCTGATAAAAAAATTTTTATTTTTCATGAAAATGAAATTTTTTTAAAAAAACAGGGTATTCTTTCAATTTGAATAAAAAGAAATTCTCGATCATTAATAAACTCTAAAAAAAACATAATTATCATACAAAAAATGCCGAAAAAAGGACGAAATTTACAACTTCTCCTGGGCGTCGTAGTAAATCGTGGCGGAGCGTTCTCGTTCGCGTTCATTCATTCAGAAGAAAATCGTTCCGGGGGACCGCAGCTTCAAAAATAGATACTTTTTTGTTTGATTTGGAAACAATTTTCTTTAAAATGCGAACAGATCAAACATAAACGTTTACGGAGCGTAAATGAGCTTTCAGAAGGGGATTTCTATTTTTATATGTTTTTTAACACTTCCAACTAGAAGATTCTCATGGGAAACTCTACAAAATTCAAATTTACGCACTTCAAACTAAATTTACGCTGCGTAAAGGTTCATGAAACGGAACAAAACGACGGAAAATTTTAATCCCTCTAATAGTGGCGACCAATTTTTGGATCAACGATTCGATGAAAATCAATACATTTACGGGGCGCCCCCGAATATTTATGAATGAATGGAATGAACCGGGTTTTCGCATCGGAATGAGAAGAAAACGATCAAGAATGGTTTCAGTTTGGAAAAAATCTTGAAAAAGTTCAATCAAGCATTTGGGGTTCCAGAAAAACATAGAATTTAGCTGAAGGGGGTTTTTTTTTAATCTTGAGTTTTTCAAGGATATCTTGACCTTGGGAAACATTCATACGGAACCACCAAGGTTCAATCGAAAAAAACAGTTATTTTTTTAAATATAAGTTCATTTTCCAGGTGAAATTGTGTTTCAAAATGCTTTAAAATCTATTTTCAGCTTCAATAATCAATTACAAACGCATTCCTATACACATTTTCTGTTTCTAAAATTAGAAATCCCATTTTTCAAGAATTCCAGGAGCCTGATTGATTTTTAGACCTTTAGAGTAACCTCTCAAGCGATTTCCTCTACACATTTTATGTTTCAAAGTTAAAAACTCTAGTTTTTCAAAGATTCCAGAAACCTAATTCATATAAGACTTTCAGAACACACTCTCAAGCGAATTTCGAGTAGTTTTTTCAGTTTTTCCATGATTTTTCTTAGAGTCTCATCCTCCCAGAGCTTGGTCTTTTCATAGATTTTCCTTTTAAATGTGAGGAATCTTAATTTTTCGTTCAATATTTATAATTATCTATGTTCTGATGCCTGAAAAATGCCAGAAGAAACGAGAAAACAAGTGAATGTAAGAAAAAGACCGTAATTTTGAAATTTTAAAGACTAAATCGGGCTCTTAAGCTATACTATATGAGATTATCAGGCTTTTTCATTCAATTGAAAGCTTTTTTTCTTGTCTTAAAAAGCTCTGAAAAGTGATTTATAAGCTTTTAAAGTCCAAAAATAATCACTGATGAGATAAAAAATCAAAGATTACTTAATAAATCAGTAAGGTCATTCAAGAAGCTTTTAAAGGCTTTATAAGACTTTTAAGGTAATTTATAGAAACCTTATAATCTTATTCTTATTCTTATACAGCTATAATCATCTTGAAAGCTTCTAAAGTCCAAAAATATCCATCTTCCATAAGAAAAGCCACCTTTTTTAAACCTAGTACCAAAAACCAAAGAAAAAACGAGAAAAATCTTTCGTTTTCCCGAAAATTTTCCACGCCGGGAACGTGAGAAAGACGTTGGGAAAGAAAAAAAAAACAAACAAATACTAGGAAGGAAAAAAGCGCGTAAAGGGCAAGGGAGTGGTCGTTTTCGAGTCGAAAATTGAAGAAAAATATCGATTTTTGTGGATTTTTTAGTGATTATTTTGTAAGAGTCTGTTGAAAATGAGGTATTTTGAGACCTTTCTGGAGAGAAAATTAATAAAAGCTTGAAATTTATCAAAATCACTTGGTAAAATTTTTCTCAACCTACTTTTGTCTTTATCTTGCTGAAATTCCAGCTTTAGCTATTAATTTTTCCTTTTTTGGGAACTTTTTCGAACTTCAAACAGTTCAAAAGCTCTCATTTTAACGCAAAAAATTATTTTCAATCATTAATAAAATTCAAAAAAATCGATAAAAGAACTATAAGAACAGGGAAACAAGCTGAAAAGTGGTGGGAACAGCTCGAGAGAGAGCCGACAAAACAGAAAAAAAAACCGCAAAAAACGAAGTTTAACGACCGCGTTTCTCAAGGATTCCACTCATAAAATGCTGGCCAGAACTCTTGTTTTTTTTTTCCTTTGCCTTTTCGACGCCTCCGAAAATATCCAGTCGGGCAAATCTCATAAAATATTCACACTGGATGGTGCGAAAAGTGGGAGGAAAATTTTCATAATTGAAAAAAGTTTTTTTTTCTTTTGGAATCATTTCAATGGATAAGCGATGAACAAGAAAAATCGATATTTGAAAGTAAGGACCAGAAAAAAGGATGTTTTATCTGTGGAGCAAACTAATCGCTCAAAAACGGCCATTTCGCGAATAAACTCATCTTTCAAAATTTTCCCAATGTTGAGCTATAATTTAGAACATTTTCATGATTACAGGGCTTTGATTCTTGTTGAAAAAGCCAAAAATTTAAAAAAGATAGATGAGAAAAAAAGTCCCCTCAAAAAAAACTAATCCACAGCTAAATGCAAAAATTCTAAATTTTATCCATAGAGCACACATGATTCCTCAAAAAAATCGCCGAATTCAAAAAAATAAGTTAAAAAGACGGATTTTTTTAAAGGAAATAAGCCGAAAATTCAATAAATAACTTCAAAGAACGGTTTAATATGAACATAAGATTAGAAAGCGTCAAAAAAAGTTTTAAAAAAATTTTTTTATTTAGATGGAAAAAAAGCTTCAAATAAGTCTCTCTATACTGTCTTAAGTAATAATAAAACTGAAACAATCAATAAAGCACAAAAAAGTAGAGAAAAAACGAGAGAAAAGAGCCCTCTCCACACGCAAAAATGTAACAGTCGTGAGGATTAACCCTGTTTACCAGAGTGAAAAAGTTCTAGAAAACTCGGAATTTCATAATATTTTAATTGAAAACAAATCTACTCGATTTTAAGTAATACGAACGAGGATAGGAAACTAGAAAAGAGTTGTTTCGGAAAAAGAATGAATTGAGAAAGAGAGGAGGAAGTCGTGAGGGAATTAGTCAGCCGTGTGTTTTGTTTGCGGCCCTCCAATAATCATACCGAAAAGTGGCGTTTTGAAAGGAGGTCGAAACAAATAAGCCTCCTGAACGACGGAACATCGGTTGGAGATGTTTGAAAAACAGGACACTGGGAAAACTTTTAGTGGCCACTAGAGGGTTTTGACGTTGAAGTGGAAACTATAGTAGTCGAATTAGCGGCCACTATAGAGGTCTAAGCGCTACTACTAGGCCACAAAAAGTTTTAGTGGCCACTTTAGGGGTCAATGGATCAACATAACTGGTCCAATCTGTTTGTTTCAAAGTTGTCAGTGTTACTGGAAGGAATACTGGACGAAAAACTACTGAAGTGCTCTATAAACGGAAAAAAGTGGCCACTATAGAGGTGGGTTTAGTGGCCACTTTAGTGTCCTCTCTTAGTAGTCCTTGGCCAGCCACTAAAAATTCTCCCAGCATTTTAAAATATTCGATTTAGACGTCTGTTTCAAGGTAAAATTAATGCCGTGTTCAAAGTCATTTCGAAAATTTCAAAAGTTATTTGATTTTCGCGAAATTAGGATTATAGGAGCCCTACAAAAATGGCTCCTCCAGCGAGTTAGCGACTTTTAAGCGCAAAATTCCAAATTTAGGCATTGATTCAGCATTTTTCATCAAATTTTTGAATCGCCAAACACTTTTTTTTCAAATCAATGTATAGGTTAATTTCAATTTGCGTTTTCAACAATGTTTTTTAAATGTCAAGCTTGAAGATCCGCTTTGATCGGCCAAGGTAGGGAAAGGGCTATTCAAAAGCTACATTTTCTACTTTAAACTTTTTTTTGAACATTGAAAGGCCTGAAAATATTCAAGATGAGGTTGAGATCAAAAAAATTATCGTATAGAAAGTTTTTCAGTTACAAATAAAACACCAATTATTTTTTTAGGAAAAAGTTTATCAGGATGTATTTTTCTCTTGTGAACTTCTTTAAAACAACTGGAAAGCCTTAAAAAAATCGCCAAAAAAACAGGTCGGAATAGAAAAAAATAAAAGAGAAGATCGTGTTCAACAACAAAGAAAGTTTAAATTATTGGGTGAAAAAAAGGTTATTAGGTTATCAAAAAGTTAGTTATTACGTAAAGACATCTTAAGAACACTAGGAAGGCCTCAAAAATCGTCAAAAAGAGGTCTAGAACAGAAAATGACAGTTAAAACGAGATTTTTAATTATTTAGTAGGAAACGGTTGATAAAATGCCTCAAAACTCCTCAAAAAAAGGCCCAAATAAAAAAATGACAGTGAAGATAGTGTACAGATACTAAGAAACAATAGGAAAAATGGAAGAATGAAAAAATGCATTCAAAGTCTGTGAAGCCGAGGCTAATGGAGCTTTTTCAAAACTGCGACTCAAAATTTGTGAACGGAGAAGGCCACCCTCTAACGAGCCGAAAATGCGATTTGGAGGAAATTTACGTGCGAAGTTTGGAAACCAGTTATATGGGAAGATAATAGGCGGATTGGAAAAGTGGATTAGACTTGATGGACACAGGAGAAAACGGCCCGATTTGATTACCCGTTTGGAAACGTCTCATCCCTTCCATTTCACCCTCTTTTCTTGACCGTTTCTCGGAAATTTACTAAGAAACATTTTCACCACCCCCCCCGGGCTTAACTCTTGATGATACTTCGCTAAAGTATACTTTAGGTATTCCTGATTGCAAAACAAGACAAAAATTTCTCGCAATAGATTTCGTTTTCGAGTTATGAAGCTTCAAAGTCCGCAAATGATGACAAAAAAGCGCTTTTTCAAGCTTTCGAAGCTTCATAACTCGAAAACAAGATCTATTGCGAGACATTTTTCTCTTGTTCTGAAATCAGGAGGTCCTAAGGTACACTTCAGCGAAGTTTCATCAAAAGTTCAAGGAGGGGGGTAAAAAACGTCTCTTAGTTAGTTTCTTATGAGGTGGAAATATAGTCTATTCAGATTTTGAATGTCAAGTAGGAAACTCCGCCTCCGAAAACGCTCTGTGGATGGCTCGCTCTCTGATTGGTTTGATCTATGCATAAGGGGGCGGAGTTTGATCCATGACTTCAAAATCTGAACAGATTTTATCGATCAAAAACTTTTTCTGGGATTTTATAAGTTTTCCAAGGTTCATTTATGTATCTTGATGTAGTAATTTGCGTTATTTACTCGTTTAGAGATTTTTTTCCTGTGAATTATAAAAAAATTTCGGATCAACTAGGCTAAAAAAATGTTAACCATGATTTTTTGGACATGAATATTTGCTTCAAAATTATCCAATAAACGAAAATTTTCGAGGCTCCTAGGAAAATTTGTGAACTTTCGTTTAACTTTAACACCTTTTATAGGTTTCTATTCCAAAAAAAGAACTAATTTATTTCCAAATTTATAAAAAAATTTGCATCCAAAAATTGATCCAAAAATGTTCTTCTTTGTCAGTTTCGGTACTTTTTTTCCTTTAAAAAAATTTTTTTCAGAATTTTAGTCATATTCCGTCCTTTACACGACGAAAAATCAATTTCGAAAATTCGCCGGAGAAGAAAAATTGGTTTCCTTTTTTTTCAGCTGTTATGGATGGCCCCTGGGAGCTCAATTCGTCAAACTTCTCGCCCCCATTTTTGGGTTCTCATGAACTTTAGCGAAATCTTCAATTTTTCAATTCGAAACGATTCAAAATGGCTCATATTGCTTCATATTATTATTATTATTATTAGTCGTATCAAATTTCATTGTTTTGCAGGGGGAAATTTGATCTCGTCATATATATATACATATTTTTTTGATATCAAGGGAAATTCCTTTTTTGAAAAAAAATGGAAAATTAGTCTGAAAAATCAAGATTTTTTTAGTAAAACCATCAAAACTTCCATTAATAGGATGAAATGAAATTCAAAACCTGAGAATTTTTCGAAAAAAATAAGGATTTCTGTCCTTCCAACGAAGCTCATTTTATTAGAAACAGAAAAAAATCCTCTTTTTGAATATACAAGTCAGAAAAACTTTCTTCAAGGTACCGATATTTCGTTCAAAAACTCAAAATCGCTCGTAATGCGAAGAAAAGTGACTGAAAGTGCGATAAAATAAATGAAAATGAATAAAATCACTCCTAAACGAGAAAAATTGGAGCCTTACCCATTTAGAAAATGAATCTTTTCCTTACTGACAATAAAAAAGGCGGAAAGTACTAAATTACGGGTTCTAAAAGACTCGAAAACATATGAAAAAAATTGGAATCGAGCCGAAAATACATTATATTTGAGTTCTAAAATATTTTTTTGCTTCAAATATGGAAGTAAAGTTGAAAAAAATCGAGCTAAAACATTTTTTTGAAGCTTTTTTGAATGGCTTCTGATTCATTAAGGTTCTTGAAAAGTTCAAAAAAACTCTAAAAATGTCTATATATTTCCAAAAAGGCTTCAAAATCGTCAGAAAGGTCACAAAATTGCTGAAGGATAACATAAAATTTGAAAATTCTCTCCAAAAACTAAGAAAACGAATAATTCATCATTATTTTTACATGCAAGAATCCTTAAAAAACGGCAAGTTTTTTTTCAAAACAAGAAAAAGGCTCGAAACTAGACAGAACAACGCAAAAACATGAAAACAAACGAGGAAAAAGGGGAAGAAATTTTTTTTCGCTCGGCGTAAATCGAAAGCATAAAACGACGACGACGTCTTCTTGAAGGCTCCAAGAAGAAGGGAAAACGCGCGGAAAAGGGCGGAGCCTGTGTGAGCTCGGAGAGCAAGAGATTCAGAGGGGGTGTTCGTCGAGGAAACTCACATTTGGCCAGTGAAATGAAGCTTTTTCGAGCTCGGACAACTTGGAAAAGGGCCAAATTTCCGAGTTTCCATACAATTTTCGACGCCTTGAGCAACTTATCATAGAAAAATGCTCTTCTATCTCAACTTTCTTTAATTTATCAGAAAAAAAAATTAATTGGCAAGAGAAATAATGCTTTTTTTCCAGCTAAAAAAACTTGGAAGGGTCAATTTTTCCGAGTTTCTGTACATTTTTCAATTCCCTGTGTATATTATACTCAAAAAAATTTCTAATCTTAACTGAATTACTTTTCTTCCATAAATTTATAAAAAAATAATAATTTTGCTGGAAAAAAATGAAGTTTTTTTCAAGGTGAAAAAAATTTAGAGGGGTCAATTTTTCCGAGTTTCTGTACATTTTTTTCGATGCATTGAGCAAAATATTATATAAGAATGTCCTTCTATCTTAACATTATAACCTTTTTTTCCTCTATTTTATCAGAAAAAAAGAATTTGGCAAAAAAATGAAGCTTTTTTTAGCCAAAAAAACCTTGGAAAAAGAGCCAAATTTCAACATTTCTATATTTTTTTCGATCCCATGAGCCACTTGCTTAATTTTTATCCGAAAAAAAGTAATTTGGAAAAAGAAAATGAAGCATTTTTCCAGCTGAAAATAATTGGCAAACGGCCAAATTTTTGAATTTCTCCTATTTTTCAGTCCTCTTACTCGCCCATGGTCTTAAAGTAACACCGGAAAATCCATTTTTCTCAAAACCTATAAAATTATTGACTATGCTCCTTTAAACACCTTTTTGATCCGTTCAATTTTTTAAAAAAAGTATATTTTTTTAGATTAAAATTTTTTTAAATTATGACTTTCTTAAAATCGCAAAAAAATAACTAGAAAATTTAGCCTTGGCGCTGAAGCTTTCAGCGTTTTAGAATCAATATGAAATTTTGAGAAACGTTCAAAATTCGCTGATTTTTCAAATAAAAATCGAAAATGGTTCCGAAAGTTACTTTGAGGAAAATTTTTAAAAATTCACTTTGGAAAATCTTGAGAGCTCGTAAAGATTTACAGATTCCTCAAAACTGTTCAAAAATAAGGCTGACTATCTTTATAACTAAGAAAAAACGATGTAATGGTAGAAATCAAATAAAAGAATGCGATAATGTTAGTAATTTCCAAAAAAGGGCAAATAAAATAATACAACACGACCACAACGTGCTATTACACACAGAAACATCAACAGAACGATTTTAACTGTAGAAAACTTTATTTCTAACAAAACAAAGAACAGGAAATCCGCAAAAAACTCGTTTTGAACGATGACAAGGCTATGTATACGTACTAGATACAAGGGTTCATAGAAAAATATCATGGAAAACTATGAAAGAAAATGTTTGAGATGGCTTTTGTTCAATTTAGGCTTTAGAAACTCTAAATTAAAATTCTTCAAGGCTTCAAGGGTCACAAAAAAAAAGCTCAGAAAAGCTCAAAAATTGCTTGAAATCGACTAAAAAGGCTCATTTTTCAACGAAAAGGCCATTCCAAACCACAAAATCCATAAAATCAAAATTTTTCAATTATGAGCAGTGAGAAAAGGAGCACTTCTTGCCTAAAACCGGAGTGGCAGAGAGAAAAAAAAATATAAAGTTTGGAGGAAAAAAAAAATGAAAGCTCAACAAGATAACAACAAGACAAATCAACTAGATCTACAACTAGGCCTAAAAAAAACCAAAAAACCAGAAAAAGCGAAATTTCCAGGCCTTTGACCCGGAAGAACAGTAAAAAGATGAAAATCTCTTGCTATAAAAGAAAATTCGAATTGAAAAATTATTTTTTAACAATCAGGCCCTAGTTCTATCTATCCTAAAAAATCCATGCATAGAAAATAATTTTTCAAAAAAAATCAAGTGGTCCCTAGAGTAGTCAGCAAACTCAAATTCGCTATTTACCAAGGCCAGCAAAACAGAAAAAAGACCAATATCCGTTATTATTTTTCAAAAATATCATATTCTTGATTTTTCTACTTTTATAAAATAAGCTTTAATGTCCCAAGTTCAAATTATCAATTTTTAAAACTTCAAAATTTCCATTTTTTCCAATAAATCTTCAACTAAAAATCAATAATTGCATAATTTTTCAAAGTCCCAAGTATCCATTGACCTTGGCCCAAGCGTGGACCACTCGTTCCTCCACCGGCTTTTTCTGCTCGGGACTTCTTCCCGTGTTCGAGACGATCATCAGCAACATGATCAGGGGAAGGTACAGCAAACTTGAAAAGGAAAATTATTGATTTTAATTTTGGTAAGGGAGAGAAAAACCTGAAAAAGAAGAGCCTTCGGGAGTTTTTCGCGTCGGGTGCTTTATAAAATTGATAGGCCAGGTAGCAAAGGTACGCGTTCACTGGGAGGGAATCTGAAGAATAGAGATGATTATGTAAAGAGAAATCAGAGAAATCAACTTTGTGATGACAAGAAGGAATTAATGAAGAAGTCTTGAAACGTATTTTCTTCATTTCAATGTTTTCTTACCTTTCAGGAACTCGGTGGCTTCGAAAACGTTCAAACTAACCATTTGTTCATGAAAATATTGAATTTTCTCCTTTTCTCTCTCCTTTCGAACTATGGATTCAAATAAAAAAAGTTTGTAATATCTTCAAGAAATTTGAAAAAAATGGATCTTTTGTCATTTACTAGGTTTTTTTAAGTGTTTTTCTATCCAATAGGAAAAAAATCCAAAACTCTTTATAAAAAAACTCATCCAAAAAAATATTTCAGGAAATAAGTGAACAATCGAACTAACAATAAATATTTCGTTGAATATATATAAACCCCTTCTTATTTAACCTTTAAATTCAAACCCTGAATTCAGATCCAACAGCTCAAAAATCCTCTTTTCTTAATTCCTACCAAAGTTTCTGAAATAAAAAAATGATTTATTTAGCCTGATATTTCACAAATGTTTCAACCTAATTCTATCGTATCCCGACATTTTTCTGAAGCTCCTACTTCCAATATTCAGGACCGTGGCAACCTTGAAAATGTCTAATTAAAAAAATATCTCGTTTAAATTGTCGAATTCCCTCTTTTTTCCTACCTTTCAACCCATAACTTCAGATCAAAATGCTCACTAATTATCTTTTCCTTTTTTTCTAATAATGAAACGAATGATTCTTCTTGTCCTTCACTAAGTTATTCCGTAAGTTTTTCAACCTAGTTCTATCAAATTCCAACAATTCTTAGCTTTTCCTTTCAGGAGCTTAGCAGTCTTTATTTCGTCCAAATTAACACTCATTTTCTTCAAGATCTTATCTTTCAAACCCTGAATCAGAAACAAAAAGCTCAAAAGTATCTTTACCTTTTTTCTACTATGAAAATAATTGAATCTTCTTTCCTTCTACTAGAATTTTCCAGCCTGAGCCTGGCAAAAGTTCGATATAATCAACTAACCTAAGGCAAAAGTCATGGTGGTGAGGTCGGTCAGGGGAGCTGCAACCGAGCAAAGTCCGACCAAGGCCAGACTGTGCCTCAATGACGTCACCCGGCAGAGACGCTCGTTCGTCACGCACATCACTCTGTAGCCGGCCTGAAAGCCATTATCAGTTAAGATTTCCAGGATGCGTTTTTTTCAGAATAATGGCTTTGAAAACTAATAACGCGAAATCCGCGCAAAAGAGAAAATGTAGCACAAAAAAAGCTAGATTTCTCGAAAATTTTTAAACTATCGCCAATGTCGTATTTGAGCTTTATATCACGGTTCAAGGTGATATTTGAGAAGTTTTTTTTTTTAACTTTACAAGTTTCTTCCCATTTTTCTTGTTTTAAGATACTTTTCTAACTGATTTCTGAATTTGATAAGGTAACTTTCTTTTTAAAGTATTTCTATGAACAGTTTTGGCTTATTTTTTTGGAGTTTTGAGGAAAACGAAAAAGTAAAAAAAAAGCATGAAATGTCTGTCATTTTGTTCCTTTGTTAGAAAGTGGATCTTGGAAGATTCTAAAAAACACCTCGGTTACACTTCTGAGCCTTCTACCCACCGTTAAGAAAACTCAAAAAGATGAAAAACTAGTTGATTTTCAACTGGAAAGACAGTTTGTCTACCATTTCCTTTACCCTCTTGTTTTGTTGTGAACTTACATAGGCAGAAAACTTTTAAAGGCCGCCGACCCCTCTTCTAAAACTTTCTAAATTGAAGTTAATACCACCTCCCTGAAGCTAAAACTTGTACTATTTTGGCTGAAACTACTTCCTGATGCTGGGACTTGATGATTATTCAAAATATTTGTGTAAGCCCACCCCTCCTCCCAGGCCGAATGAGTTCCCACATATGGTTGTGGAAAACGAACCCGACTATAGTCTCCTCTCAAGTTCTCAGAACTTCTTACAACTCAAGAAAATGATAAACCAATATATTTTCTGCAGGAAAGACAGCTTTTCTACCTTTTCTTGTACCATTTTTTAAGGGAAAACGAACCCGACTACAGTTTCCTCTCAAGTTCTCAAAACTTCTCACAACTCAAGAAGATGAAAAACCAGTTAGTTTATACTTGAAAAACAGTTTTTCTACCTTTTCCTGTACCATTTTATGTTGTGAAAAACGAACCCGACTATAATCGCCTCTCAAGTTCCAACTGAGCCCATTGAAATGAGGAAACTGCCAGGAGAAGAGGATCGCGGCCAAACAAGCAGCGCCCATGTCCAGGGAGCCCGTCGCCGCCGCGTAGCCCATCAAGGGAGGGATCGCTCCGACCTGAGAAATAGAGTTATATTCTTCTTCTTATGTTTAGGTCCTTGAAGTACGTAAATCAAGTAGATCATGAGCACTAAGCCTTGTTTATGACTTTTTTTTTCCTGTTCCAGCCCTCTTTTCAAGCAGGAAAGTTTATGAAATTTCAATCTAATGTCAGGAAAAAAAATCAAAAAAAAATATTAAGACTCGATTCGGAAAAACATGAGGAAATATCGTTTATCGAGTAATCCGAGCAATTTTCAAAAGATTTTCGACGCGCTTTTTAGTATCGCAACTTCTTTTCGTTTACTATTATTCGAATAAACCAACAATAAACATTGTTTTTATCCAAATTCGCAATTCGCATATAAAAACAGGCCTTTTCACTGTATTTTTGGTCGAATATATTGCAGAAAAATATTGAAAATGAAGCTGGAGACTATTTTTTTTTATAGCTAGAGGAATTTTTTGGGTTTTGGTCTCAATTTTGGTCATTTTCCTTGGTCACACCTCCACTAAAAAATCAGGTTTTTCATAAAACAAAAAGTAAATTTTTCACTGTTGAACATGGTACCTAACATAATGTGAAGGAAGTTCAATTATAGTCGAAAAAAAACCGACCACAGCCCCGGCCCAAGTGCACCCGATGTGCATCCGTTTCATTGGCGTGTAGACGCCGGCGTACAAAAACCAGTTCAAAGCGCCGAGAGCCGCCGCGACGGGGTTGGCGAACGTCGCCAACAAGGCGATTCCGGAGACTCCGGTCACGCCGGCGAATGTGAAGGCGTGCAGTGGAGTGAATCTATTGAAAATGAAGTTTAGCACTTCTATATATAGAAAAAAAACAGCGGAACACTAAGTTTCAACGACGGGCAAAAAAATTCAGTTTAGAGCTTTCAATTTCACCTGAAATTTTTTTGACAATTTTTTTCCAAAGAAAAAAATTTTTTTCACGAGTAGAACAATCAAACGCCTGACTTCATATGAACACTCAAAAAGGTTTTTTTATCTCAATTTTTTGATTGGCTACGCTTAAACACCTTTTTGAACCCTTTCATTCGAAGGAATGTATTTTCTTAAGAAAAAAACTATTCAAAGAGTAAAAAAAAAGTTTTTCAGGAAATCATTCACTTGCTACTGGGTTCAGGCCTTGGAAAATTAGTTCTTTTCTATTTTCCGCTACTGGTTCAAGATTCGAATAAACGCTTACTACCATGGAAATAAATCCCTTTAAATTATCTTACAAGACCTTTTTGAATATTTTTGGAGGATTGGGAGCTATTAATTAACTGTTGAAAAGTCTAAAATCCACAAACAAAAAAAAAATTCGAAACACAGCAGGAATTTGATCATATTCGACAAAAAAAAAGTCGGGAAAAATCAAGTATCAAACAAAGTAAAAAAAAATCAGCTATAACTATTATTTTACTCCAATTTTCGTGTGAATCGCTTAAATTTTAGCTGAACCAATGAAGAAATTGATGACTCACTTGTGAACAACGAGGACCCGGCTTTGAGTTCTCTTCATCTGGGCGTCGTAAGGAGCTTCGAGAAGCTGATTACAGGCGTTGGCCGCAGAAGAAAGCAGAGCTGTTCCGGCTGAACACGCCGCCAGGGCGCTGAACGACAACGGAACCGGGGCCATCATCACTCCGGCGGCTGCTGGAAAAAAACTCTTCAAAATTTTGCGTTCACGTAATTTTCTAGCAAAGAAAATGGACATGTTTAGCCAGATTTGACTGAAAAATCTTTTTTCGAGGAACCACTAACAAAGCTACTACTCTGAAATACGGCATCTGAAGATCGTTTCAACTCTTTCTCTAACCCACACTATTTCCTCGCTTTCGCGCAGCTAGATACAACAAAAAGGTGTGTGTCAGAGAAAGAGCTTGGGCGATCTTTAGATGTCAGAGAAAAAAAAAGATCCCCAAAAAAAAACTCATGTAATCCTACAATTCAAAACGATTCCGCTAAGTTCAAAAAAAATTAAAATTTGAAAAGTCAGAAAATATCCCTGAAACTCCTATGAAACCCTCTTGAGCTGTTTTTCGTAGTCTCAGAGGATCTTTTACGGTTTCTCTATAATTTATCATCTTACAGCATTTTTTCCCCAGGACCCAAATTTTCATTTGCCTTGAAGAATCTTCCACGTTAAGCCACGTAACTTATTATTAAAGAATACCTTTTTGATTTTTCCTTGAAGGCTCTTTAGCCTATTCCACGTCAACTTGTCACGTTTTTCTTTCCGCCAAAAATACCTTATATCAAATTAGATCAAATTTCTGCTTTTGTAACGGCAAGAAACAAAGGTCTTGAAGCGAAGTTGGTCAAATTTTACTTGGCGGAAAGAAAAACATGACAAGCTGGTGCGGAATGGCCTAGATTGATCATACTATTTCGGCCCAATATATTTTCCTAAAAAATAAAAATGAAACAAACCCGTAGAAGTGATCAAGAGAGTCAACTTGGACTTTGACAGCTGCAAATAGTCTTTGATGATGTTTTTCGATTCCATTTTCGTCCATTGCGACAGATGCGAATCGGCCACTAAAGTGCAAACTTGCTGATAACAGAAAAAACAACGCAAAAACACCCCGTACCGACAATATCAATGTCCTTCTTTTTGATCCTCCTCTTGCCCAAATCGAGAACTTGCGGATTTTCCTTGATAGTCTGTTGGGCCGTGTGAAGCGTCGGCTCGCCAACAGAACTCGTCAGTTCTACATCTAATGGTTTCGCCTAAAAAGTTCAAACCAATTGCAAAATTAACTATATGAAATATACGAACTCTTGGAAGGGATAATAAAGAGCAAGTGGCGTGGAAGGCGTTGCTGCTCGTGGATGGGCACAGGCTCAACCGACCGATCAACAATCGGCTCCCAAGCATTTCCAAAGCTCGCCCAAGCGCCTTCAAACAAGAAATTCCCTTCGAAATGACATCAAACGTCAGAATATTAAAAAAAAAAAGAAAGAAATTTGCGCAAATTTCTCGTCATGTTTTATTTCGTGAAACGCATTGCGTAGAAGACATCGGACTTGACGACTTTTTTTTCGACAAAACGAGAAGCATTTGGTTTTCAACGGTTTTTCCACTGTAGACCGTATTTTCCCTCGAAAATTAGTTATTAATTTTTCTCAACTAAATCGCTGAGCGAAATTGAATGAAAGAAGTCAATTCTCCGCCCTCTATCAATGTATTTTCTCTTCGACTTGAATACGTAACACAAACTGATCCCACCGAACACGATTTCAAATCCAAAATTTGAAACTCGAAAATAGAACTGACTGACTCCGTTCCGCTATCTTTTTTCTCCGAAAGACGACTAAAAAGTTCAAAAAAAGTGTAAGTGCCCTTTCAAGTGATCCGAGAGGACACAATTAAGCGACCAACGCGACCAGAAAAGTGAAAGTCCAGATCCTACACCCCTAGTTAGACACACCCTAAGAACGATGCTCGATGCCGAAGGAATCTATTTCAAAGTCCGATAGGTTCATACCTCACTAAATTTCAATCAACTCTTAACAGTTATAAACCAGATGTTCAACTTCATTAACCGAAACAAAACAAGCGCGGACACCGAAACTTTCATAACTTTCAAAATTTAATCACATGATCTTACTTGACGAAAACACAGAAAATAACAAAGATAAGAGAATAGTTTGCAGGGTACCTATATAGAAGTGTTAAAAGCCATACTTTCTGATCTTTTTAACATTTCCATCTGGAGCAAAACGCGTTGGAAAACCCTACGACGATCAAAAGGCATACGAGGACGTGATGTGAAGGAAACATAAATAATTAAAAACTGTTAAATTTTTTATGGAACGCGGATTCAATAAAAAATGGAACAAACGGAGCAAATTGTGAAACGACATTTCGGACTTGGGGATTTGTCGCTGGAAAATAGATGGATTTAACAAAAACCCGCTCTATTTAACCAATTTTTAATTTATTCCTTGGTGCTGATCTTGTAGCCGAGGATAGCCTCTTCGTTGCAGGCGGACACGACGGAAACCTGCAATTTTTACAAGTTTTTTTAATCAGTTTATCAAATAGTTTCTCATGGAAATTAGATCATTGGAATTGAAGCACTCACCAAAACGCTGCCTTCGTCCTTGGCAAGAGCATCTCTGATCTGGGTAGCAAGTTCTCCTTCGGGCAATTTGAGGTCGTCTTTCTGGTCACAGGTTTCGGGGTCCATCAGCGAGCAGTATCCATCATCGATCGACATCAGCTAAAAATAAATCTTAAAATAGGTCAAAAATTTCACTGAAATTATCCTTCCAGACACAGTGCTCAGCATTAAAAAGTGGCATCAATTAATTCAGCCGAAACTTATCCAAAAACCATTATAGCACATGAAGAAATCACAAGAAATTCAATGTTTAAAACGGACCAGGTATTCACGGCGCTTGACTACTGGGACATCCATGTTGTGGGTGGATGGGCAAATATCTTCGAGCTTTTTGTTGGTGAAGATGTCGAGAGCGACCATGTGGACTTTAGCGTGACCGTGCTTTCCAGTCTTCGAGGTACTCATTTCGACGATCTGGAAAAATAATTATTTTTTAATTTCAAATGAATAACAAATATTGAAAAACTAGATGTGCTCAGAAATCAAAGTTGGCATCAATTCTTTCAGCCGAAACTTATCCAAAACCATCACGGCACATAGAAGTAATAAAAAAAATGTACCTTACACGGACGACCCTTGATCATGACGTGCTCGTTCTTACGAAGAGCGGAGCACTGCTTCGGGTAGGTAGCAGCAGCTCCAGACTCTCCGGAAGCGAACTGGTGATCGTCATCATGATGATCGTCCGACATTACCTGAAAAGTGACGATAGAATAGAATTTGGACGACTAAAAAAAATGAGATCGAAAAGAAAGCTTCGATTCTTCGAGAATAAATATAGTTTCAAAGCAAAAAAAAAAACAGGATATCTACTTCCAATCACATTTCGTATTTTATAAGCTTGAAAAAAGGCCAAAAAAAAATTCCAAAAGAATCCATTTCAAAAAATATTGAAAAATTGATAGCAAAAAAAACACAGCAAGAATGTAGATAAGGTCAAAAACATAAAAGTTAAAACCGTGAGCGAGAAAGTTGATGAGAATTGCTCAGATTTATTTTATTTTCGAAAAAAATGTGTGCCACACTGGAACAGAAAAAACTCAAACATTAAATATAACTAATTTAAGTGAAATTTCGCCATCTTAATTAATTAAAATGCTATTTTGAAACACAACGCAACAAAAAAAAGGCAAAAAGGATCAAGAGCGGTAGGAATTACGTAATGAGAAGTGATCGCCCGCGTATCCACACGCTATATGAGGTGATGCGCAGTCAAAAAGGGGGAGTGACGCGGCGCGATTTGGCCTTCGTCCACACATTCACCTTTGCGTTGGAAGTGAAGAAATGTTGTGAAACTTTTTTGAATTGCAGTTTAAAATTTTTGAAATACACAGCTCTATTTATATCTTGCTGTTGTAATGAAGAAAATTAGTTCGAGCATCAGAGCTTGAAATTTCAATGTTGCAATCTTTTTTTTGGCTGAGATTTGAAAATAATGAAAAAAAACATGATTCAACTTTTATTGAATTTAAATTTCAAGTGTCGGGAATCAGTTGTAGTTGTCAGTCTGAAAAGATATTATCTTAAATTTTTCTCGAAAAGCTTCTTGAACCGTCGAATTTCTGTAACCTGCGTCAGCACTGTGAGAGCGGATGTGGTTTGGATCGTTAGATCGTGACCGAGCTCGATTCCTCTCTATTTTATATCGCTTTTTAAATGTAAGAATAGTTGAATATAAAACCCCGAGTTGGATTGCTATTAGATCTTCCAGTAAACGGACCTCTGCCTGTAGCGGTACCAGCCAGCAAGTCCGCCTGTAAAGAGAGAATTTTAAATATAAATTAAAAATTAAGATACCATTTCATTGCCGGGATCCTGTGAGTGAGCGTAGACGTGCTCGAATCTTATATCGTTAAACTGCTTCGCCAGATTAACGACTTCTTGTTTTTCCGCCACATACCTTAAAGACGTTCTCATCTTATTATTTTTTTTTTTCTGTTACCTGACGCGAGGACCACTTTTAACGGCTTTGACTATGTCCAGATAGTCCGTTCGAACGGTGACGGGCATATTTCTGTGTGAAAAAGCTGAACTTCGAGACAAAAAAGCATTGAAAACTTGTACTCTGGCGTTTTGAGAATATTCTCCAGGGCTAATTTGACGGCAGTGATTTCAACGATATGATTGTCTCTGGCGCCGTGTACGCGATGAGATCTAATTTTTAAACTTTCATCAAAAAAAGATTAATGTTGAACCTGTTCAAAGGATGGCCAGGTCCGTGGAAGATTCCGATTCCTCCCTGACCTCTACTGTAAGAGGCGTCAGTGTAGACCTGTAGAAAAAGGTTAGATATTTTGAATGCTCGAAAAGTCATAACCACAAGACGGCCAGGAGGGAAAACTGTGTTCCATTCTTTGCCCGCAGTCGTATTACGACGATTCCGTTCGAAATTCGTTTCGTGGTGCCTTGAAACGCTTCTATCGACGTGCTGGGCTCTCTGGAATATCTTCCAGTTCAATTTTTAATGAAAAAAAAACTGACATTGGTGGGACTGACGAGGATACCGTTCCTATTGGAGCCTAAAAATCAAAAATTCCTTCAAATCAGAGCATTTTTTTCACTTATTGATCTTCGAGATCGTTCCGCGTTGACATTTTCCCTCCTTTCCCGATTTCTCGATGGCCGGAAAGATTCTTGGCTCGACTGAAGCAAAATCATATTTTTTTTTAAAAATTCATTGAGTTTACCAAATTCGAAGGTTGAGAACTGGTCCTTCCATTGCTACTTTGGCTCTGGAATATTTTCTTTTTCCTAAATTAAAAAAAAAGTCCCGACTGTGGTTCTAGAAGACGCCGTGCCATAGTTACTTGGTGTTTGGGATCTCTAAAAACAGAAAAAAAAATTCAAATTTTCAAGGAGGAGAGCTACTTCCGATATATTTGAAGCATTTCTGGACCTCTGAAATGGAAATTTCAAAGTAAGAAGTTTTTTTTCTACAAACTCTGGATTTTTCGGATCGAGTCGAGTAGCCACTGCTGTTGGAATCGAAGCGGACTCTCTAAAAAATAAGTATTTTAGGGAATTTCAAGCTCTTTCTGAATTTCTCTATACCCTAGCCTTAGAGCGAGATCTTGATGACCTTTTCCGAGAACCTTTCTTACCGTTTTTCGTTTTCTAAACGTTGAGATTTTTAGGATACAGCTAACTTTCTCTAACCCTCGATTTTCTGTGAGATTTCGCATTTTTTGAGGTACCTCGCTTCGACTTCTAAAGATTCAGTTTTTTGGAAAAGATAGTTTGATTCTGGATTTTTTTTTTCTGAGTCTGCAGGTGTGAAAACCTCGGATCATGAAAAATCTGAGGGAAACGAAAAAACCATAGATCTTGAAGATCTGGTAGAAGCGGTGCCGGTAGTCCTAGGATTGCTCCGATCAGAATAATTATTAGAAGAAGAACGAAGTCGACACTTCCAGTTCTGAAGGTTGACAATTCAATTGAGCATCAACTTTCTGGAAACAAAATTGGCGGAGCGAGATATTGAAGATCTAGTCGAGGCAGGAGTCCTGCTAGCCGTGGAGTTACTCCTGGCGGTACTCCGGGAGACAGAAGCGCTCCGATCAGCACCAAAACGGCTCGAATTCTGAGAATTGAAGCTTTTGAAAGGTTTCTCTGGATTGTGCAGACTGTGGAGTGAGATCTTGAAGATCTGGTCGAGGCAGGAGTCCTGCTAGCCGTCGAGTTACTTCTGGCGGTGGTCCGATCAGCACCAAATTGGCTCGATTTCTGAGAGTTGCGATTTTAGAAAAGGCTCGTCTGAATTTTGGAGACTGTAGAGCGAGAAGATCTGGTCGAAGCAGCGGTGGCAGGGACTGAAGTACTTCTAGAGGCGGAAAGGCTTCGGTCAGCACGGCCCTGAAAGTTGTAATTCAATAGTGAAGAAGAAAGTTGCTTACAAAAGCTTGGGCGGAAGGTGTTGAAGACGAAAAAGCGGGTGTTCCAGTGTTCCAAGGAGCATGGCTTTTTGGAGCTGCAGAATGACTTCCAATGGGGCCATGAGCTACAGTATGACCTCTACCGTGACTTCCACCATGACTAAAGACATGACCTCCACCGTGTCCTCCGCCATGACCTCCTCCATGACCTCCGCCGTGACCACCACCATGACCTCCTCCATGTCCTCCGCCATGTCCTCCTCCATGTCCTCCGCCATGACCTCCTCCATGACCTCCTCCATGACCACCACCATGACCTCCGCCATGACCTCCGCCATGACCTCCGCCATGACCACCGCCTGCTCCTCCACCACCTTTCCCAGCGGCCAGACGAGGCTCCATATCTGTCATCTTCTTGTTAGTTGCTCTAGTTGCTTCTGAATCTTCCCATCAAGACTTTTTCTCCGGAAACCAACCTGCTGATGCAGCAAAAACCCAGTGAAATGACTGAGCCAAGATACAGAAAAAAAAAAATCAAGACTATTGCTCATATTATCGAACTATAAACAAAATTACTTTGATACGTCGAACCATCGACATTTCTTCATTGAAATGACTGAGGAACTCCAGAGTGGCCCCTATAGGGACTGGGAGAAAAAACAGCTTCAAAGGGGTCGAAAAGTGGTCCCTAGAGGGGTTTAGGCTCTTACCCCTAGTCCCTAAAGAGTAAGTGGTCCCTCCAAGGATCCTTCGAATTTTTGTTCATTTTGAAAGTTGAAAAGAGATTTCATAACAATAATCTGCTAAGATGTCCCCTATAGGAGCCACTAACAGAAACCTCTTGGGATGCCCCTTTGGGGACCACTCTGGAGTTCCGAACTTCGTGTGTACATGCCGAAACCCCATTTTTTAAACCTCAATAGAAACAAACTTTAAGGCGTTCTAACTGGAAAATTTTGAACACAATTCAGGAAACTTCAAAGAAAATCTCAGCATATTTCCGAAATTTTTTCAGAGATGGACAGACCTCTACGTGTGTTTTGACTGTTGAAAAAAGCAAAATAAAACATTTTTCAGTTCAATATTTATTCAATCCAGTGAGTAAGGGATCTTGTGATTCAGTTGAAGTTGTCAATCTGAAATAAAACCTTGATATTATTATAAAACGGCTTCTCAAACCTATGATCTTCTGTAACCAGCATCAGCACTGTGAGAGCGAATGTGTTGGGGATCATTGGAGCGGGATCTCTCACGGTTTCGAGCTGTTTAAAACGAGTTAATCATGGAAAACTTCTTGAGAAGAAAACCTCGAGTAGGATTGCTAGAAGATCTACCAACAGAATGTGGTCGTCCAGTTGCGGTACCGGCCAGCAAATCCGCCTGAAATGCTCATAATTGAGGTCAATTTCCGTGCCAACTAGTCATTTTTATTCGCCAAAATGAAAACCGTATGAATTTCAGTGAAAATTTCGCTTTGAGACCTCTTTCTTCAGATTTTTAGACGTCTCGAAGCGAAAAAGCTCTGTTTACGGTATTTTTCCTCATACCGTGTTCAAAGTAATTTCCGCGAAATGCAAAATGATCTCTGACTCTCCAAAATTTAGGGATCTTTTCCTTTCTCTAACGGGTATTTTGCATTTTGCGGAAATTACTTTGAACACGGCATCATGCTGCGTTTGATAAACATGAACACTGGTAAACTCTTAGTGACCACTTCAGGGTTTTGCTGTTTTAGCGGCCACTACAGTAGTCGAATCATTGGTCACTTAAGTGGCCTTTTAGAAGGAAAAGTCCAAGTGGTACAACTAGACAGCTGAAAACTCTAGGGGACACTTTAGGGGTCGAAAAAGATCTAACGGGTTCAATCAACTTTATTTTAACTCACAAATGATTATGTTTGTCTACCAATTTTTTAACTCAAAGTACTGTAGTGGCCACTGAGACGGAAAATAGTGGCCTCTGTAGATGTGTTTTTTTTGGTCACTTTAGGTCCAATTATTCTTGAAGGACCTCTCAAGTGGCCACCTTAGTGTCCTCTCCAAGTAGTCCCTGAGGAACCTCTCAAGTGGCCACTACATAGGTGGTTTTAGTGGCCACCTTAGTGTCCTCTCTAAGAAGTTCTGAGGAACCTTTTAAGTGGCCACTAAAGCTTTTAATATACCATTTCATTCCCCGGGTCTTCTTCATGGGCGTAGACGTGTTCAAATCGAATATCGGGAAACTGCTTGGCCAGGTCGATGATCTCTTGTTTCTCAGCCAAATAACTAAAAATTCTCTTCTTGTAAATACAACTTTTTTCGGCTTACATAAACCGAGGACCGCTCTGAATCACTTGGACAATGATCAGGTAGTCTGTTCGGAGAGTAACCGGCATGTTCCTTAAAAAATCTTTGAAGGAAATCTTTGAAGATGAAGGAAACTTATACTCTGGCGAGTCGAGTATGTTCTCCAGGGCGACTTTCACAGCAGTTATTTCGACAATATGATTGTCATTGGCGCCGTGAACCCGGTGAGACCTGAATTTGAACTTTTTTAAGGCTTGCAAGCATCAAAAAGACAATAAAACTGGCAATTTCTAATGATTTATTTCAAATTCCACTTGAAATCGCACAAAATTCCTACTTAAGAAGCAAATTTTAATTCAATTTTACGCCAAAACCAGCCTAAATTTAAAAAAAAAGGATCCCTTGATTTCATCATGATTAACAGCTCTCAAGTTGGGAAAACATAGAATGACAGAAGAAAAAAATTAAAAAAATCGGAGAACAATTTAGAAAGATCCTAAGTTCATTTTTCATTATTTTTTTCATATTCAAACTTTTTTTAATTATTGAATTTTTAGGCGATTTGAAGTGTTAAAAAAAGGAATAAAAAAAGTGAAAAAGACATTTTTGATTACTTATTCCATTTTTTTACATCTATCATACCTAGAACGTAAAAAAAAACGCAAAAAATCGAAAAAATAAATTTTTTTTTTCATGTTTACGTTCTTCCTTTCAATGAGTTGGAACTTGTCTCAGTATTTTTGAAATTCAAAATTTTTTCAAGTTACTGAATTTTAGGCGATTTGAAGTGTTCAAAAAGTAGTGGTAAGTCACGGCGTTTTTTTGGCGATGACATATTTTCCGTAAAGTGTAGTGTGTCCTGTGCATACACTGCGGCGCTCTGGCACACGCCGCGTTTAACGTAATAATATTTTTTTGAACATTTATTATACCTTTAAAGGTAAAATAATCGTCCTTTTACCTATTCAACGGATGTCCAGGCCCGTGGAAGATTCCGATGCCGCCCCGGCCTCCGCAAAACGAAGCGTCCGTGTAGACCTAAAAATTCCAAGCTTGAACTTTTCAAAAAAAGGAAAAAATCCCTACCACTAGTCGACCTTCCGGAAAAAGAGTGTTCCATTCCCGGTCAGGGGTCGTGTCACGTTTTTCACGTTCAAAAAGCTCTTCATAACGTCTGGATACACTTCTATCGGCCATTGGAGCCATCTAAATATTCAAATTTCGAGAGAAAAATAGAAAAAAGACACATTGGTTGGACTGACGACGATCCCATTGGCGCTAGAACCTGGAATTTAGTTTCTCAATATTATTCAAATCGTGGAGAAAGGCCACTTCTTCTCTGAGCATTGACATTTTCCCTTCTTTGACGATCTCTAGAAGGTCGGGTTTGGGTAGACTAGAACACAAAAAATTATTTATTTGCCGAGAAAAATCTTTTCTACCAAGTTTGAAGACGTGGTCGTCCTCCCATTACTACTGATGCTACGGGTCCTCTGAAAAAGAGAAAATTCAAAAAAGGCTTGAAAATTCTGAAACTACACTCCCAGCAGACGCTGTTCCATAGCCACTCGGGGTTTGAGAGCTCTGAAAAAAATTTTTTTATATTTTTTTAAAAAGAGGATTTTACCTCAGTCGAGCTGGATGAACTCATATCCCTCTGAAAAAAATAATCAAATAGCTAAAAAAATTTTTATTTTTTTCAAACCCCCGCATTCAGTCTAGCATCTGTAGGCTCCTTGGACCGCTGAAAATAATTAAATATTAAAAAAATGGATATTTAACCAACCCTGGACTTCTCGGAACGTGTAGAGTAGCCACTTGAGGTTCTACAAGTCTAAAAAGAACATTTCACAAGTACCAAGCATTTTTTCAAGCCTTAGCCGTGGAATAAGTCCTCGAAGAGTTGGTCGAAGTATTGGCTGTGGAAGGCTCCCTACTGTGAGTCGTTTTCTAAAAATTGACTTTTGAAACAATTTGAAAAGCCCCGACCAAACCTTAGACTTGAGGAACGATTTCAGCGATTTTTTAGAGGTGTTAGTCTCGACGGAGCTCGGATCGGAAGCGTTATTGGAAGAAGAGGTCCGACTCTCGCGCTTCGAACTCTGAAGTTTCAACTTCAAGAGGATTTCTGGTGTTCGGGGAACCTTGCAAGATCTTTGAGACTTGTTGGAAGTGGCGTTTGGAGTAACTCTAGCCGTTTTTATCGACCCCTCGCGGCTAAGATCAGCACTACCTTTTTTCTGAAAACCTCGTTTCAAAACAGGATAGGCTGAAGTTCGAAAAACCTTAGCCTTGGAAGATTTGGTGGAAGTGTTGGTGGGATCTGGAACAGGTCTAGCCCCTTTCTTCGAGCCATCAGCACTACCGGACTGCTTCTGGAAGTTCTGATTTTTAAACAGGCTTGGCTTGAAGTTTGGCAAACCTTAGCCTTGCTTGATTTGGAAGATTTAGTGGAAGTGTTAGTCGGATCTGGAACAGGTCTAGCCCCTTTCTTCGAGCCATCAGCACTACCAGACTGCTTCTGAGCTCTGATTTATAGACAGGCTTGGCTGAAGTTCGGCAAACCTTAGCTTTCGCTGATGCTTCAGACCTGCTGGGGATGACGACGGCAATGACATTGGCCGTGGTTTCAGGAGCCTTCTTCTGCAAGCTCAAAACTTCAAGAGAACATTATTTCCTGCAAACCCTAGCCTTGCTGGACTTGGTCGACTCTGCGGAAGCCGTGGCAGGAGTTTCAATGAGTCTAGCTGTCTTCAGAGATCCATCACGGGTTTGAGGGACAGGGATTTCGTATAGGAATTCGCTCTTTTCCTCCTGCAAGATCCATTTTCAGAAAATTGAAGTTTCCCAAAACCGTTTTTTCAGAAGGTCTCAAATAAGAGGAGGCGACAGGGAAATCCTGAGTAGGAGTGTTTTTCGGCTCGGAGAGACCATCATCCGAGCCATTTTCGGAAGAAGGACGACTTTTGCGCTTCGAGCTCTGAAGTTGGAAACTCCAGAAGTTTCTCTGGTTTTTGGGAACCTTGCAGGATTTCGCAGATTTGTCGACATTTCGAGTAACTCTAGACGTTTTTATCGACCCCTCGCGGCTGGGATCACCACTACCAGACTTCTTCTTAAAGTTTTGATTAGTTAATAAGCTCCAAAGTTTGACGGACCTTCTCTTTCCTTGATTTCGCAGATTTACTGGCCGTTGGAGTAACCCTACCAACTTTTTTCGATCCTTCTTGGCTAAGATCAGCGCTACCTTTTTTCTAAAAACCTGATTTCAAAAGATAGGCTGAAGTTCCAAAAACCTTAGCCTTGCTAGATTTGGTGGAAGTGTTAGTGGCATCTACTGTAGCCTTAGCCCCTTTAGTCGACCCTTCTGACTGCTTCTGAAGTTCTGGTTAGGGAAAGGCTCGAAGTTCGGCAAACCATAGCTTTCCTTGAGGCTTCAGACCTGCTAGGAACGACGACGGTCATGGCATTGGCAGCGGTCTCAGGAGCCTTCTTCTGGAAGCTCGAAACTTCAAGGGAACTCGGTTTCGTGCAAACCCTAGCCTTGCTCGACTTGGTCGACTCCGCGGAGGGGGTGATAGCGGGAGTTTCGATGGTTTTAGCAGTATCAATAGACGGATCCTTTACTCCTTCATTGTTGTTAGAAGCAGGCTCGCTTGGCTTGTCTGGCTCCTGGGAGTTCCAATCCTAAAGAAACCGCAGAAACCTTCTGCAAACCGTAGTTTCAGAAGAAGCTCTCAAAAAAGAGGTGGCTGCAGGGAAGTCGGGGGTCTGAGCCTTCCTGGCCTTTCTCCGAGAGGCCGAAGAACGGTCACGACTTCCTTTCTGGCTCCCTCCGCTCATCTTCTTGTTAGTTGCTCTAGTTGCCTTCTGAATGATCCCATGAAGAGCCTTCCTTCGGAACCAACCTTTCGAAGCGACAAAGACTAGTGAAATGACTTGCTACCCCACGTATGACTTAATCATTCTTCCAAGACGTTTAAAATAACGAATACCTTTTGTCATTTCCAATCACGGCCTTCCAATGAAGAATCAACCTTTAAACAAACAGAAAGTTCCAGGAACCGGCGCGAATATTGGCTTGGTTGAAGGATTTGATTATTTCAAAGGTACATATTCCTCCCAGGTGACGAACAACTGTGTCAAGACGTTCCTGGACGCGTCTTCCAAGTCGGCCGAAGTCATGACGATCCGTCTTGGGCAGGCTTCCCATGGCGTTCAGGTGACGGTCACCGCCGCCGAGGTCAGCAACGAGTACGCCAAAAAGCTGGTAGTTTCCTAAAAAGTTCATTTGAATTTGAAAATCAGGCCAATTCGGAACATTTTGATGCGATGCTCCAGGAAGCGGAAGATCGACGGAAAGTGGGCGTAGCTTGTGAGAAAGCTCGTCGGTTCTTTGTTGAGGTAGCTTTTTTTTTGACTTCAGATGATCTTTTGAATTTTTTTTTGTTCTTTACGACCATGTCGGGAAAATTTCGTATTGATTTTTCAATTTTTTGAGGTCCATTCAAGTTAAATTCAGCAGTTCGACTTTTTAAGTTGGAGTGATTCGGAAAAAGTGATTTCTGAACGATTTTTCCTGGTTTTTTTTTCTTTCAAGAAAATCTTTAACATAGAAGCTGTCTATTTGAGGAACGAAGCATCGATAAAAATTTAAAAAAACTTTCCAGCACATCCTGACGCACAACCCCTTCCCACCGAAGAACAAGCTCGAAAAGCCGCAGGCCAAAAAACGTCAGCGTCGAAAACCTAGCGACGTAGCGACGTCTTCTTCCGTTTCTACAGAATCCTCCAATTCTCAACCAAGTTTCCATGATTAAACCATCAAATTTGAACCTTTATATTATTTCCAGGCACGCTCCGATCGCCAAAAAGCAGCCTGACCTCCGTTCACGCCAGCGACTCGTTTATCATCCCGCCAACCAAGCCGAAAAAGACCAAGTCCAGAACTTCCAGAATCCGGGCCTCCGACACTAGGTTGTCCTTGACGTCGTCGTCAACAACCACGTCGAGGGGTTCGGTGAGGTCGAAGGTCTCATCTTCGACGAGTTCGTCGCGGTCCAGCTGCACCTCGAGTCGGAGACTTGAGCCGAAAGACTCGCGGATCTTCAACAGTTCGACGTCGTCAACGGACACGCCGTCGACGTCGCCGCCGTCGGCCTCGCCGGCGGTCAGCCCGACTCTTCTCTCTATTCATCAGAATCTTCTTTTCCGTCGATGAAAAACCCTTTTCACGTCATGACTTTTGATATTCAGTGAGATAAAAGTGGTTTCTATCTTGAATAAGTTGAAAAATCATTCTTGATCCGCCACAACCCCAGTTATACTCTACACACCATAATCTGAGATTTCGGGCCGCATTTGGAATGGCTGAGTTTTGAGACGGTCAATATATATCCGCATCACCGCTGGCTTGGGACACAAAGGGGCGTGGCCTGTCTGCGCTCTCTACAAATCAGACACTGTCTCTTCCCTTATCGTGTCAGGACCCTTTTTTCGACTGCCCAAGCCAGCCGTAAATCAGCTATATAGTCCGCTTTTCGCGACTTGAAAGGGCGGAACTTCTCTGCACCCTCCTTATCTCTCAACGTCTCTCTCCTGTTTACGGGATATTTCCATGTTTCTCTGACCTCGCCGGTGAGAGAACAGAGAGACGCAGACACGGGAAAGCTGTCGAGTAAACTATAGGCGTGCGCAAGAAAAAAAAATATCGAAAATTAAATCTCCCTTTTTTGAAATTTGCCAATTTTCGAAAAATGAGGCCTTTTTCTGTCCCCGACCTCCATGTGGAAACAATTTTTTACATTAAAAATTAACTTGAAAAAAAAATAAATCGATATTACCTACAGACTGACCAAACATGCCAAAAATCGATTTTAACCGCTTTTTCTTCATCAAAAACATCTACAATAATTTATGAGTAAAAATAATTGACAATTAGAATTTTAATAAGATATGAGTTGCTCAAAGGGTCGCAAAATGGACGAGAAGACTCTCCCGGGCGGTCGAAACCGGCGCCAACTGCTGGAGCAACGTCGTGTCCAGGGCACAGTTGCCCTTGGTGGCCAATAATTGTTTGCCTCGTTCCGTATCGGCTCCGATCGCGATTGGATCCGGTCCAGCTGAGTCAGGCTTGATCTGAAAAAAAGTATGCTTCAGTTAGTTTAATCGAAAAGTTTTGATATAAAATAAAAGTCTTGAAGATCCCGAAAAATAAGAATTTTTCGATAAATGCGTCCTTAAATTACCTTTTCAAGCCCCGCCTATGACAAAATTTTAACTTACTGTGAAAACTTTTAGTGGCCACTATAGGGTTTAGACGTTTTAGTGGCCACTATAGTAGTCAAATTAGTGGCCACTTAAGGGGTTAAAAACTAGTGGCCATTATAGAGGCCTAAGAGCTATTGCTAGACCGCTAAAAATTTTAGTGGCCACTTTAGAGGTCAATGGATCAAAATAACTGGTCCAATATGTTTGTTTTCAAATTATCAGAGTTACTGGAAGGAATACTGGACGAAAAACTACTGAAGTGGCCACTAAAACGAAAACTAGTGGCCACTATAGAGGTGGGCTTAGTGGCCACTTTAGTGTTCTCTCCAAGTAGTCCTTGGCGAACCTCTATAATGGCCACTAAAAATTTTCCGAGTACGGAAGAAATAAAATCAATACGACTAATCATTAACTGTTCACTAAAGAAATCACTCGAGAAAAGCCTTTTTTTCCCTTGAGTGATCACTCAGAGATGGGCTTCTTGTTTTTAGGAAGTGAGGTTCGAGTCATTGGGAGAAGCCGGTTTCAGTGATCAAAAATATATTTTTGAGAAAATTTCTGATCGATTTCGAAAGCCGTGCCTTAAAACTACCTTTCTAAGCCAAACCTGGTCATTCAGAAGTTCTCTTTTGTTGAAAAAAAGAAAATTTTCGAAATATCTTTCCAAAAAAAGTCCTAAAACCTCTCTGTACAGCTTGACGATCTCAAAAAGGCTGATTGGTTCGGGATTCACGAGGTTCAAAGTCCCGCCCACTCTTCTTTCCATTAAAGAAACCATCGAGTTCAGACAATCTGGCAGGATTGTTATGGAGACTGGGATGTCGAAGAGCTCTCTGGAAAAATTTCGACATTCCTAGTTTTTTTTTCCATTTCCTAAAGAGCAAAAGCATTGAAAAATCTACAAATTGGCTCTTTACAACGATCTTTTCATGAAATTTGCTGGAAAGCTTTCAAAAATCCCGGCTTTGATTGTCGAATCCGGAGATGAGGAAAAAACTTACTTGTAATTAATGATCTTGGAGAGTAGATTTCGAGGCTGGTTGAGGTCCAAACTCAATGGGAGAGTGATACGAACGTTGAGGTTTTCCCAGCCCTGAAATCAAGAAACTGTGAAAGTTATGGTCGCATTTGGAATGGCTAAAAGCGTCGCGGCTGCGTTGCGTCACTTTAATTCAGTCGCTTTTCAAAGTGACTACTTTGTAGCGATTCAAACTTCTATCATGGGGAGAAATATGAGCGGTGGCCGCATTTGGAATGGCTCAAAGAGCTGCAAGGCGCTTCAAGTCAACCGCTTTTCAAATTAATCACTCTGCAATCATTCAAAATGTGACAACAGCTACATAAAGCCGTAAAATTTCGAATATTTTGAGTTAATACCTTAAAATATTTTTTTCCGAACCTTCTGATTAAAATAGGACATTTGCCGATCGGTGAAGCCTTTCACCACAGAATAGGCCGATCCGAAAAATGTTGGCTCGTCTGGAAATTTTTTCAAATAAATCCCTGAAGAAAGAAGAAACCTTCATCCTTAAACTGAGGGCCACCGATCGGATGCTTCTCGTCGTAAGCGAACATGTAGCCGGTGCCGATGTAAGTGTGATGAATGCCCAGTTTGCGACAGAGATGGGCGAGGACTGTTGCGCTGAAAATCACTTTCGTAAAATGAATAGAGATCGCAAGAGAATGGGCTCGAGACGGAGAAATTATTTCAATTTTTCGGAAATCTCGGATTAAAAAAAGATTGTTTTACTGCATTGTAGAAAACTTTCTAGGACGAATCCGACCAAAAACTACTTGCGCTGTCTGACATTCTAAAGAGCATAAGGTCGGGCGCTGCCAAATGGTAGTTTTCTTTAGGCGCTGCCAATTCAATATTGTCTCGACAAGACGCGACGCGAGACATTCCAAACGCGACCACTCAATGAGCCTGACCTGTACATATTGTCCCGAACATTGATATCCACCTTATCAGGACCACCTTCCAGGTATTCTATGGTATTGCATCCTGGTCCGTGGGTCCTGCCAGTAACACAAATTACGTGGGTCGCTCCCAAAGTGGCCAGCTCGCTTTCTACCTGAAATTCGAGTTGATTTCTGAATGATTAATTTAATATTGGCTTCATAATGATAAAGGTCGATGAAAAAAATGGGGTTTTTCGCAGAAATAAAATTCAAATGAGACGGTTCTCAGCTCAAAGTTGGACTAGCTGAATTACCGAAAAAAGGCATGGAAGATTAGAGAGCGTGGTGAAAGCGGAGGGACCAGAATCACCGTCTCCCTTTCTAACTTTATTTAAGCAAGGTTAAACTCCGTTCGCCGCGACTTGAAACTTTCTGCCTGTCTGCGTCTCTCTGTTCCCTCACAAGCGAGGCTAGAGCAACGTGGAAATAGCACGTGAACGTGGGAGCGTCGCCTAGAGAGAAAGAGAGCGCAGAGAAATTTTTGCCGTTTCAAGTTGTGGCGAACGCACTATAAATGCCGTTTTTCTCCTATGAAGCTTTCAAAAGATTCTTAAAGCTTCTCCTCTACAGTATCTCAAGCTAGTGGTGAATTTAATGTCCCTTTTTTAAATGTTTTACCTCCGCATCAGCGTCGACTCCAACCTTCTTCGTGGCCAGAACGAACGGAATTTCCTTCTCCAGGAGCGTTTTCTGCACTTCAAGACCCACATAACCCTTGCCGCCGTAGATCGCCACGTGCATTTTGACGGCTTTTTTAGGTTTCAAGGCCGAGGCCACGGTTCTTCTCATGCCTTGAATGGGTTTTTTGTTATTGGTTTATCAACTTTTCAAGAAAAATTGTCGAAAATAGAAAGGTAGGACTGTATTAAAGAAGAGAAGTTCATTTTAACCGCCTTCTTCTCCTTCATTTTCTTGAAAAAGTTCTTTTTCCTCCCTCAGTTCTTCTGAAAAATGTGTTGTGCCACAGCGCGCAAGTCAGTTTGAGTCGGGCGCGCTTTACAAAACGCGGAAGTCTTTTCGAATAAATCGAGGGGCTTGAAACTTGAGAAAATGAACTTAAACATGAAAAAGTTTTTTTTTCCGTTTCCTATGTCATTTTCATCAAAATTTTGTTCTAAAGAAATTTTTTTTTTCAATTTTTAACGGTACCTTCTTCGAAAGACGTCGTCGGCTCCCAGTGCAAGTACTCCTTGGCCTTCTCAATACTAATAAAATATCTCAAATCGTTATAAGGTCGGTCGGGGATGCTCCTGTATCTTGGCGGCTCATAGGGACGATTTAACTGCGCATCGACTTCTTGTTGGATGACTTGGGCGAGGTCGGCGACTGAAAAACTTCTTCTTTTCTTTGAAAAAATGTTAATCATTGGAGAATTTGGAATCAAACTGCAGAAAATAATAATTAGAAGGTCCCTTTTCATCATAGCTTGCTGGCTAAAGATCTGGCTCCCCGATTTTTCGGTTCCAAGTTCGATTCCACGACCCGTTTTTGCTCGAAAAGCGCAAGATTCTAGAAAATGATAGCCCCAAGTCTTTTCACTGTCAAAAGTCATATCACTTCAGAAAAAAAATGACAAAAGCTTCAATTTTCAGTTTAGCACAGTGGCTAAAGACCTTGGTTTTCACTATTTAGGTTCCAAGTTCGATTTTCCGACCCGTTTTTGCTCAAAAAGCTCCAGATTTTAGGAAAAGCTTGAAAAATGACGATAATTCAGCATAGCCTACTGGCTAATGGCCTTGACTTCCACTATGTAGCTTCCTAGTTCAATCCCTCAGCCCTTTTTTGCAACTCACCATTTTTCTCATAATACGTTCCGAGATTATAAATTTCTCCGAGTTTTCCTTTTTCACATACGGCTTTCAGTCCGGCGCTGGCGTCATCGACAAAAAGCCAGGATCTAAAATTTTTTTTCGAATGTGGCATTTGGAATGGCTTAAGGCGTCGCGGACGCGTTGCGGTTACAGTATAAAGCTTTAAAAAAAAATTGAAGGACCTTTTTACTGCGAAAATCGACCGAAAAAGCGGTGAAAACTTTTAAAAATCACATTTTTTCGCCAATTTTCAGCCCTGGAGCCATACTACTTTCAGTGAATCGAACCAATTCAGAGCGAATTTTTTTCAAGCCGCAACGCGACCGCGACGCTTTGAGTCATTCCAAATGCGACCATTTCCCACCTCAATTGCTTCCCGCTGCCTTGGATCGTGTACTCGCCACGGACTTTGGCGATTTCAATGAATCTTGGGACCACCTCAAAAGTTTTATATTATTTTTTGACGGTTTTCAAATTTTTCTGACCTTGACATCCCACTGATTAGGCCCATAGATATTGTTCATACGGGCCGTGATTATCGGCAGATTATATTGAGATTGATAAGCGCGAACGTAGGCTTCTCCGGCGATCTGAATGGGACAGGTTCGGATCCTGCCGAGGGTTTTTGCTTTTTTGCCATTTTTTCAGCTTGAAATTTGGAAACTTACAAGGGATTCTGCGGTTCGGAATTTCCTGAAAATTGACTGGAAAATTTCTTGATGTACTAGAAGAAGATCCGGAAAGTATCGATCCGCAAAATTTTTTAGTTTTTGAAAAAGGACAATAAAAAGCCAAAGAAACCCTTAAAAATCCATGAAAATATGCTTTATTGAGGCTTTGAGCCCTCATTTTTCAAGAACTAAAAAATTTTGAAACTTAAGACTTTCTAGATAGATTTCTGGTACATCAAGAAGTGGTCTAGCCAATTTTCAGAGAAAATGGAATAACCTCCCTTTTTCCCATTGGAAGCCGAATGAAATACGTTTCAACTAGAGTTTAAACTTGAAGAAAATCCGCCACTCTAATAACTTGTCTTCTAATTCTTTTGAGAAAAATCAAAGCTTAAAGTCTAAAAATGGTGTATTTGAAAGGATTTTGAAGGTTTTCTTTGACATTAAAGGCACAAGGGCAGTAAAAAACGGTGTTTCAGTTCAAAGCAGTATTTTGTAGAGCTTTTCATTGCGATTCGAACGGTAAACTTGGAAACGTACAGAAGTTCCTAGTTTTGAAGGAAAAATCATTCAAAGTCGGAGAGAGAAAAGTTTGAGTTCCCGCGAAAAGGGCGCTTTGCAGTAAAGTTGCTCTATGGACAACAGGCTTCGCCATCTTCCGCATTTTCGCTTTTTCCTTCGTTTCTTTCAATTTTCAATTTTTTCTGTTGTCACCAAATTTCTTTTTGTCCCAAAAACTTTCTATTAATAAGAAGATTGCAAATTCTGATCTTGAAATGCTTCTCTTGTGAAAAATGACGATTTTACACAGGTTTCAATTGGGATAGCGATATTTTGTGTTTTCTTTATTATCGGTGTGTGTTTTTTGTTTGACTTAACGTTTTTTCAGAGAAGAAACCCTTGATTTGAAGCAGAAATCCGGTTATTTCTCAAAAAATGCGAGTCCGCAACATCGCGTGCACGGTTACTGTAAACATTTGTTCGTAGGCCAATTCAAAGCTTTTTTCAAAATTAAAGGCGGGAAAGTAAAATCGCGTTTTTCTTCAAAAGTAGTCACATCTGTATTTTTTCTGAGTACACCGTTCGATTCGCAATGGAAAACTATACAAGATACAGCCTTCACCTGAAACCCCGTGTTTTACTGCCCCTATGCCTTTAAGATGTACTGTTTCAGAAAATAGGAAGTTTTGCAGGTTGAGTCATTCTAGATCTTTTAAAGGTCCATCAAGAAGTCCATCGGCCAATTTTCAGGAAATTGCCAATATGAAATTTTCGCCCTTATTTACATCTCTCTTGAAACCTGGATGAAATACGTTTCAACTCGAAATTAAAGATGAAGAAAATTCAGCACTCTAGTAATTTCTCGTCCAATTCTCTCGAGTTGTATAAAATCATCCTCTAAGGAATTTTTCTAGTCAGTTTAGATTTTATTGATTTTAAAAAATTAAAAGTTCAACTGATGACAGAAAAATTAGCTTTTAAGATATTTGATGGTTTTTTCAACTTCTCAAAGTAATTTTTTTTTTCTCAATTGCCACCAACCTTTGTAGCAGCATAAGGATTTCCTGGGGCAAGTCGAGAATTTTCCGTTTTTCCCTGTTCATCGTCTCCCAAGCCGGAATCTCCATAGACCTATAAATAGCTCTATAGTTCATTCACGACTAGCTTGAGACAATGGAAAAATAGCGTTCGAAATGAAGAGGTTTAGACGGTTCTACATTTTTTTTCTCAAGCAAGAGGTATGTGCAGAAAACTTTAAAAAATGAATTTTCCGAATTTTCTGCGCTCTCCCTCTTTCTAACACTGTCTCATACCTAAGCGCGCAAGTCGTTTCGGGTCGGGCGCACCTCAAAACAGCCATTCAGCGTTTTCAGGTCAATCATTAGCTACGAAATTGAAGAGATTTCAAAAACCAAAAAAAGATTTCAGTTAATATTTGCTACAGTAAAGTAGATCTTTTGGATACCGCTGAGAGATGGAGAGGGCGCAGACATGTCAGAGCCGAAGCGAACGGACTATTTTATTCAAAAACGAAACCTCATCAGTGCTGATATGAACGAATCTCTGGATCTTCCCATATTTCCTGACCGATTCCAGAAGTTGGACAAAAGCCAGAACATTATTATGAACGGCTTCACTCGTTTCATTATAACAACGAGTCGAGGTACAGTCGGCGGCAAAATGGATTACGGTGTCTATCTAGATAGATTACTGTAGAATTTTGAAAGAATCTTTAGGAAACTTCATTTTCTTCAAAAATTTTGAGGATGGCTTCGGTATTCTTGATGTCGGTCAGAGCTAGCTTGTAGCGAGGCGAGTTTTGGACCTGGAAAATTGTATTTATGAACTTTTGGACGCATTTGGAATGGCTCCAAGCGTCGCGGTCGCGTTGCAGTCACTTAGAAGGTCAAGAAGACGCTTAAAATCGGAAGCTAGTCGAGAAAAAAGTTTCAAATCTCGATTTTTACCGTCGAACCGCAGCGCGACCGCAACGCATCAATCCATTCCATGAAGTTCATACCTCCTCATCGACGTATTGAGTATCACTGTTCAGGATCAGCTTATCAACGTTGACAAAATTACAATCCGACCAAGCGCCATGGATAAAATTGACGAAATTCGAGCCGATAAATCCGCACCCTCCAGTGATTACCACGTTTTTCGGTTTGTAGGTCATTTCTTGGGCCTGAAATTCTAAGAATTTCGTGGTTTATCGGTTTAGAGAAGCATTCAAATAAAAAAAAAAGTAAAAATGAGCAATTAAGGGTTTGTAGGAAACTCACATCAAAAAAAATGCCAGAAAACCTTTCAAACGATTTTTTTCCAAAATTGCTTCTTTTCTAAGCTCACCAGATCTATAAACTATATGCCTTTTTAGACTATAATAAACTCATTCTTAAAATATTGGATAGTAATAAAATACAACAAAAACTAGAAACGAACAACGCGCATCGCTACAAGAAAAAAGAAGACAAATAGTAGGTGAAGGTCATTTTGTGTGTGTGCGGCGAGAGAAAAAGAGAAAAAATAGATTGATCCCGTTGGATAAGGAGTATTGGTTTTGTACTATGTGAAAAAAGAAATAATCAAATTTTCGTTTGAAATTCAAGTGGAAACTAAAAAAAGCCGTGATTTTTAGGGTCTCAGGTTCAATCCCCGCCGGAAGATTTTTCATTTTTGCCATTTTTTTCCGAGGTCTATTTGAGAAAAGATACAACTTTATCACGTTCCAATCCAAAAAATTTCAATTTCTAAATGTTTTGGCTCAAAAATAGTCCACTGAGCGTTGTGGAGAGGGTCTCAGGTTCGATCCCCGTCGGAAGATTTACATTTTTGCCGTTTTTTCCGAGGTAAATTTGAGCAAATAATCAATTTTCTTACTTAAAATACTAAAAATTTGAACTTTTAGATTTTTTGGCTCAAATATAGTCCACTAAGCGTTACGGATAGGGTCTTCGGTTCGATCCCAGTTGGCAAATTTCAATTTTTGCCATTTTTTTCAAGATCAATTACAGACCAAAAAAATCAAATTCATGACGTTTTTTTATTCAGAAATTTTTGGTTTTTTTAAATTTTTTTCAGAAGGCAGTCAATAAATAAGGAAAAAATCTGGAGAGGGTCGCAGGTTCGATCCCTGTTGGCTGATTCTCATTTTTGCCATTTCTAATTAGCCACTCAATTTTTGAAATTTTCACTTCAAAACCAGTAGTTCAACTCTTCCTCTCTCCCAACACTACTTGATTAAAATTCCAACCATTTTTCAAAATTCTCCACCTCCAAACAAGCCAAAAACAGCTAATTAACTGTAATTGGTCCAGTTTCTTCAAGTGTTTTTCGTGACCAACTGTTCTAAATTCCACAGGACAATTTATTTTCAAAACTTGTTTCAAAATCGAAAAAAAGCTGAAATGAGTCATTGGAATGAATCAGAAAAGTTTTCTTTTCGACGGGTTTTTTGACCTTCTTTTGTGTTGAGGGACGTCATTTTCGTCCTTTCCGTTCAATCGAACTTTTTTTTTTGAAGTGTTGCGAATTGAAGTAAGTGGGGATGATGAAACTACTGGATGTGTACTTTTAATCATCTTATGGTCGAAAGGCTGAAGCTTCAGACTACCGCTCATAAGGTCCCAGGTTCAAATCCTCCTCTCGTTTTTGCCATTTTTGAAAATATCTTAAATTTGTCCCTAAAGAGTGTGAAATTTCGAATTTCAGCTTCTCACAAGCCTGACCAAAATCTGATAGAGATGGTCGAAAGGTTAGAGCACTAGACTACCGCTCAAAAGGTCGCAGGTTCAACTCCTTCTCTCGTTTTTGCCATTTTCCAAATATCTTATAACTGTCCAAAGGAAGTGAAATATTTTTTGTACCTAAAACGTGTTAATTATTCAATTTTAGCTTTCCATATGTCTGAAAAAAGTCTTCTGAACATGGTCTAAAGGCTAAAGCTTCAGCCTACCGCTCAAAAGGTCACAAGATCAGATCCTCCTCTCGTTTTTGCCATTTTCCAAATACCCTATTTCTGTCCTTAAAAGGTTTTAAATTCAAAAGTTTAGACTTTCAAAAGTCAGAAAACAGTCTTCTGTACAGAGTCGAAAGGTTAAAGCTCTAGACTGCTATTAAACAGGTTCCAGGTTCAACTCCTCCTCTCGTTTTTGCCATTCCAACATTCTAGAACTCTCCAAACGACAAACAAAAGAAATAATTAACGTCATTCCAACCACCAAACTTCACATAATTACCTCAATTTTTGATGTTTCCGGGTAAAAACAGTCTCTCAAAAAAGGAAAAAAAAGGGAGAATTTCCAGTTTGGGCGGCCGCCGTATTTTCCCCCCTTTTTTTCTCGATTTGTGTCGGTCCGAGTCCTTCAGAACTCGCGTTTGCTTTTGTGTTTTGCGGTTTTCGAGCCATTTTGTACGATTTCTGTGTTTTCAGAGTATTTCTCCACTCGAAAACAGCTCTTTTGAGTCTTTTTGAAGTGATTTTTAATGTATTTTGAGTTTTTACTTATAAATTGATGATAGTAAAAAGGCTAAGGATTCAGACCTACGTCCGAAAGGTCCCAGGTTCAATCCGCTGCTTATTTTTCTTCTCAGAAAGCTGAAAAACCCGCAAAATCTGAGCATTCCTGCATGATTCAATTTTCGCGCCTCTTCCATTGCAAAATCGCTTTTTTCGCCTTACTCTAACTTTACGAATCGCCAAAAAAATATTCTAAAAGCGAGCTTTGCTCAAAAATATTGATATTTTTCCCTTACGGATCATATTTCACACGCTCACGTCTATATTTCTGACGAACAAATGTTTGTTTGTATTTCGGAACATTTTTTTTCCGTTCAATTGGTTGAAAAAAATGAAAATTTCTGACGTTCAAGTGGGTTTGAACTTGACGAAATCGACTTCAACGCTTTCACTGACTAAATTAAACTCGTCGAAGCACTTGAAACTAATCGTAAAACCACAACGTTTATCCCATCTCTCCACTGGCTTATATTATAGGCTATGCGTGTGGGGGATGTGACATTTTCTAAAAGGATTATCCCTCTTGCACCCGTTCCTCCAATTCTGTGCCATTGATTGCCGAGCGTTTTCCTCGCCTTTTTTTCTCAACAAAAAGTTATCCTCCGAAAGTTTCCCAAGAATTGCCCATCAACGTCAAACAATCAAAATTGATGCGAAAAGGGCGTGGTCCATTTTTTTTCGCTGGCGAAATGTATATCTGTCTCAATTGGCTGCCGAAATATCATTTTCTTCGATTTTTAAGGCTTATGAAATAGTCTACTTTAAGATTTGCAATAACAACCACCTAACTGATATCTCTGCTGTTGATAAAGCATCATATTTTTGATAAGCGACGGGGAATTGAGAGAGATGCGGGAAACGAGTTCAAAATAACAATTTTTTTAATTTCCCGCATGTTTTATGCCGCCTCCGTGTCCGCGTACTTTTTACTCACTGTAAATTCAAAAAAACCTTTTTTTCATGTTTCATTTTTTTTTTTTTTGATAATTTTTTTCTAATGAATATTCATTCTCAGGTTGTGCCTCGCACTGATGGCGATAAGGCCAGTGGCGGTCATGCCGAAATTCGGCCACATGACGGGAAAAGAAAATTTAGAAGCATATCCACTTCACAAAGCCGCGTTTTTCAATGACACGCAAACTATTTTACAGTTATTAAGAAATGGTAAGGTAATTTTTTAAAGGCTTCATGTATTTTTTCGTGTTTTTGCAGGAAGAAGGAGCATCTCTGAGAAAGATATGCATGGAAACACGGCGCTTCACATTGCCACGATGTTGGGTCATCGAGGTTTTTTCTTGGGAATAGGGAAATGAACTAATTATTTATTTAGAAGCGACAGCATTGTTACTAGCCAATAATGCACCAGTTAGAACGAAAAATGTGGATGGCTGGAATCCATTAATGGAGGCGATTAGTTATGGGGATCGGCAAATCAGTGAGTTTTTCATCTATTTCAAAACTAAAGTAGTATTTTTAGTAACCGAGATGCTTCGAAAACTGAAGTCCCAAACCCGGGAACACCTCTCGCAACGGAAACCGCACCTTTTGAAGGTTTTCAAGGAACTCGGCGACTTTTATTTGGAAGTCAAATGGGATTTCCAATCTTGGAGTTCGTTTTTCGTTCGTTTTTTTAAAAGTTTCGGTTTTATTTGTTTTTTCCTCCTAACGAAATTTCTCACAGTTCAGTTTTTCTTGGTTTTTGTTTGCCAAGTGTCAATTTTAAACCTATCTATTTATTTTTTTCAGCTTTCGAACAAATAATAGGTTCAAGGCATGGTTTTGAGTAGATTTTTGCGCAAAAAACGGAAAAAAAAGCGTATTTTGAAGGTTTTTTCATTTTTGAGTATAATATTCAGGTAATAAGTAGAGTTTCCAACGGCGGTTTTCGAAATCATACATGAGAAGGTAGAGAATTCAAATTTTATTGAATATAGTCTCAATAATCCTTAATAAAAATATATGAAGAAGAAAAATCGATAAAGAAGGCCCTAAATAACCGTTCTGAAAGGCCTTTTTTTGTTGTTTTAATATTATGAAGTCGAGAAAATGTTTTTGGAAAAAAATTAAAGTTCAGTTCAGTAAAAAGGATAAATCAGAATATTTTTGTGGTTTTTTGTTTGCAGAAAAAGTGCGTCAATTAGTTGAAAATTTCAATTTTTTTCCTATCAAAAAGTAATCTATATCTTTTTTTCTCACTGGATAAATTAATTTTAATCAGAATCAGAAATTGATTACGCTTTAAAATTCGGCCGCTTTTTCATGATGCCGATTTTTTCAAGTTTTCAAATTTGAAAAGGTTTTTTCGGGCTTTATTAATATGTTAACTGTTTCAAAATGCGTATTTATTCAAATTTCAACAATTTTCGAAGTCAGTTTTCAAAATTCCTATAGTCGATTCTCGGCCAACTTCTTTCCATAGGTGGCTCAAGCAAAAAGGCTTGCCCTGTCTGCGCTCTCCACCAGCCAGGCACTATCTTTTCTTTTATCGTGTCAGGACCCATTTTTCGATGTCTCAAGTTAGCAAAAAATCAGCTATTTCGTCACCAGCGCTAATTATATGATGCGCAGAGAGCTTCATATAAATAGCCATATAGTATATAAATCGGAATATCCAAGCGATGGCACCTATGGAAAAAAGAACACCTGTCTCTGATTTTGGATAGCTGCCAAGCAGTAAATTATAGGCTTAGCGGCCTTTTTGGCACCGTTTATGAGTTTTCATATAGCTGGTTTTTTTCAAATAATATTTTATTGGATAGGTTTTGGAGTCATTTTAGAAGTGTTAGGGCTCCATTTGAACTTTTTTTCCTAAAACCGATAAAATTGATATATTTATGGAGTACTGAAGGACATTTCATTTTGTGGTTGGGACTTTCCTAAAAATTGGCCAGAACACTTCTTAATGTACCAGAAAAAAAATCCAGAAAGTCTCAACCTGCAAAACTTCCTATTTTCTGAAAAATTACACCTAGAAGTCAAAGAAAACTCTTAAAATCCGTCAAATTTGCCATTTTTGGAGCTCTAGACCCTATTTCTCCTACTATGAGAAGTTGAAAAGGCCATCAAATATCTTAAAAGCTAATTTTTCAGTCATGTGTTGAACTTTTGATTTTTTAAATCTTCAAAACCTAATTTAACTAGAAAATTTGTGAGAGGATCATTTTATACAACTTGAGAGAATTAGACGATAAGTTACTGTAGTGCTGAATTTTCTTCCACTTTAATTTCTTGTTGAAACGTATTTCATCCAGGTTTCAAGAGAGATGTGAATAAGGGAGGTAATTTTATTTTGCAACTGGGAATTCCCTGAAACTTTGCCGAAGGACTTCTTGATGGACCTGTAAAAGATTCAGTAAGTCTCAACTTGCAAAAATTCCTAGTTTCTGAAAAAGTACACCTTAATATCAATGAAAACCTTTAAAAATCCTTTCAAATACACCATTTTTTTAGACTTTAAGCTTTGGTTTTTTTCTCAAAAGAATTAGACAACAAGTTATTAGAGTGACGGATTTCTTTCAAGTTTGAATTCTAGTTGAAACGTATTTCATTCAGTTTTCAATGGGGAAAGGGAGGTTATTCCATTTTCTCTGAAAATTGTCTAGAACACTTCTTGATGTACCAGAAAATGATCTAGAAAGTCTTAAGTTTCAAAATTTTTTATTTTTGAAAAAATGAGGGTTCAAAGCCCCAAAAAGGTCTATTTTAACGCATTTTGAGTCGTTTCTCAAAAATTAGGAAGTTTTTCCGGTTGAGACTTTCAGAGCCTTTTTCTGGTACATCAAGGGTTCATCTGGCCGAATCCCAGGGAATTCCCAACCGAAAAGTAAAATGACTTCCCTGTAGGAAACAGTTGCTGTATGAGCAGGAAAAAGAAGCAAGAACTGGGAAAGTTTTTAGTGGCCACTATAGAGGCAAAGAATACTTGGAGAGGACACTAAGAACACCTCTATAGAATCCCCTGTTTCGTCTTAGTGACCACTATAGTAATTTTCAATGGTCCACTTTGACTTCTAAAAAGATCAATAAATTTTAGTCACTACTTCGATCACTATAGTAGCCACTAAAATTTCAAATTCCTAAAGAGGTCACTATAAATTTTCCCAGCTCATCCAGTAACTCTGATAGCTTTAAAACAAACAGATTTGACCAGTTATGTTGATCCATTGACCCCTAAAGTGGCCACTAAAATTTTTAGTGGTCTAGTAGTAGCACTTAGACCTCTATAGGGGCCACTAATTTATAACCCCTTAAGTGGCCACTAACTTGGCTGCTATAGTAGCCACTAAAACGTCAAAACCCTATAGTGGCCACTAAAAATTCTCCCACAAACTACAGAAAAACAATTTTCTACACTTTTCATGACGAAATTCCTTTCAGTCCCTCTCCTATCCCGAATACTTCCCTCGGATGTCTGCCTGATTTACAAAAAAGGGACAAAACTTCGGATGGACACGACTTTGGCCGATTTCGGAGAGAGGAACTGGGAACGCGGCGATATTACTTTTCTATATGATGCTGATGGCCCCCGGGGCAATCAGTTTATCATTATGGATAACAAAACAAAGGTTTTAACAGTATTTAAAAAAAAATAATGAAGTTTTAGGTGTTCCAACGCGGCCGCAATGAAGAATCTGAAATGGAGGTCGATGAGGAGGTGACTTTTTTAAGTTAAAAAAATATTTTTTTAGGAAGAAATGAGTTTTTTTCGCCTTTTTCATTAGGGATAATATTGACTTTTTTTCAGGTATATATGAAGTTTCAGAATGTAGGATTAAATTTCACTTTTTTTATAATAAATATAAAACTTGAAAATATATTATTTTCAATGGTAAAATGTTATGAAAAGCTAATTTTTTTATAGAAAAAAAGGGAAAATAAATAGCATTTTAGTAGATTTTTCTTACTTCAGAACCAATATAAAGCCTTGAAAAATATCATTTTCAAATGTCAAACAGTTATGAAAAAAACTAATTTTTTTATAGAATAAAAGGGAAAAATATGAAAAAAAAACTTCAAAATCAGTATAAAGCCTGAAAAAAATAACATTTTCAATGGTGAAAGGTAAGGAAAAGCTAATACTTATAGAAAAAAATAGTTTTTTTACTTTTTATGATCTATGTGAATCACTTTTTAAAATAGGAAATGATTTTTTTGCCGTTTCTAAAGTTGAAAATAAGCTTTGAAAAGATTGGAATAGTTTGTTACGATGAAAATAAAAAAAGCAAAAAAATGAGCTTCGCCCTTATCAGCATTTTTTTGGAATTTTAAAATTAAAAAAATTCATAAAAAGTTTTCGTTATTAAAATAGAAGGTTTTGAATAACTGAAATAGGTTTTTTTGAACGAGAGTTCTATAGCTTGTTAAAGGTGGAAATAATATTTTTTATTGGAAAATATCTTTTTTGGGCTGTAAAAAGTACGGCTCATTGTGTTTTTTTGATCATTTTTTTGAATCGAAATTTGTTTTTTTCGGTGAGATCTCTCTACGTACTTTTTCATGAAAAATGTCTCTGAAATATGATTTTTTTGAGGTAAGCATAACTTTTTTCCACCTAAAATGAGGCTTGACTCAAGTTCTTTCTATAATTTTCTTGGAATTATTTTATAATTTTCACTTTCATTAATTTTATTCTCAAATTTTCTATTTTTTGATGATTTTTCAATTCAAAATTTGTTTTTTGATGAGAATTCACTACGTACTTTCCATTGAAATGTCCCTAGAATACGTTTTTTAAAAGATAAGCTTGATTTTTCATCTCTGAAAATGAAATTCAACTCGAGATTTTTTTTATGATTTTTCTGGAACAAATACAATAATTCTCAGCTGTATAGGTTTTATTTCCGAATTTTCAATTTTTTGATCATTTACTAGTTTAAACTTTGTGTCTCTTCGAAAAAAATACCTACGTACTTTTAAAAGATGATCTCAAAAATCATATTTCAATAGATCGAAAGTCTATTGAAATATGATTTTTTTGAGGTAATCATGACTTTTTTCCATTAAAAAAATGAAGCTTCACTGGAGTTCTTTTCTATAAATTATTCGAAAAAAATTTAGTAATTTTTCAGCTTTACAAGTTTTTTTCTTCCGAAATTCTAACTTTTTCGACAATTTCTTAGTTCGGAGTTTGTTTTTACGATGTGAAACCTCTACGTTATTTTCATTGGAATGTTAAAAAATGACGATTTTTCGAGATAAGTATGATTTTTTACCATTAAGAATAAAGCATTTGACTCGAGTTCTGTCTATAATTTCATAATTTTCAGCTTTATTAGTTTTTTTTTCGCAATATTTTATTATTTTTAGGTCGACGTCCTTATGTCGACGGACATTGTGAACGCCAGGATGTCAACGAAAACTATCAGTTTTCAACCGGCCTATTCTGGATGGGTCTTCAAACACGCTAGAGAGGTTTGAAATCATCCTTGGGGCCTTAAAAATGCATTTAATGTCTTTTTAGGCTTTTGGGAACAAAATTCTAGACAAAATGGCTTCAAAAACGCTTGAAAGATGTTGAAAAATGATACGAAAACCATTTTTTGATGAATTTTTCATTTTGAAGATCATTTCATGCTTTTTTATAATGCCCTAATCAATGTAACTATCTTGCGAAATTCAAATTTGTCTCTGACTCTCTAAAATTTAGTTATCTTTTTCACTCTCTGACGGCTAACTTGAACTTTGCAAATCGCTTTGAACACGGTATAAGTTTTGACCTTCAAGATCAATTTTTTGGCTTCCCTCAGAGTTTTAAAAGTCAAAAACAGCTACTTTTTGTAGGATAGGAAGTGTTCCAAGGCTTCTCGTGACCTATGTCGGGGATTTAATAAAATCTCATCTGGGATTTGAAAAAATGAATGGCTTTTATAAGCTTTTTCCAAGTTTTTTTCTTTGAAGATCGAAAATCAATCAAAATTTAAGTTAGAAAAAGTAATTTTTGAGTTTTCCAATATTGTTTTTGGCATTTCAGGAACTATTTTCATTTTTTGAAGGCTTTTTCAGCTTTTAAAATGTGCAAAATAGTGATTCCAGGTCGAAAATCTTAAATCAATTATTGGGAAGGTAAAGATCCAGAGTAGGCTAGGGGGAACTCTAGTGGCCACTTGAGAGGCTCCTCAAGGACTACTTGGAAAGGATACTAAAGTGGCCACTAAACCTACCTCTACAGTGGCCACTTCAGTAGTTTTTCATTCAGTATTCCTTCCAGTAACTCTGATAATTTTAAAACAAACAGATTGGATCAGTTATGTTGATCCATTGACCCCTAAAGTGGCCACTAAAATTTTTAGTGGTCTAGTAATAGCCCTTAGACTTCTATAGTGGCCACTAATTTGACTACTATAGTGACCACTAAAACTTCAAAACCCTATAGTTCTCGCTAAAAATTTTCCTAGCTTATCGATTTTCGAAAATTCTCCCTACTTAAGGAGCAACTTGGCGACTATCCGGTCACATTTTTCACGGTCGACGGGATGAAACTAACGACGAGGAAAAGAAGGGAACATTTGTCGAATGAAGACGTCAAAAAGAACAAATCCATGTTGACGAGCCTCGCCACGGGATCCATGGTCGGCGACGACGAGTTCATCGTTCGTTTTCTATCAATTTTTGAGGAGAATCGGCCCAAAAAAGGATTTTTTTTTTTTTAGTTTAGGCTAGTTTTCAAAGTTATTTTGTGAGCTATAGAAAAAATTTTGTAACTTTCGTTATTTTTTTAAATCAAAATTTAAACCAAAAACAGCTTGGAATTTCCGTTTATGTGAAGAATTTATAATCCTGGAGTCTTGAAAAAAAATTTAAATTTTTGAGAATTATAAATTTATCTAGCTAATTTTTACTATTTCTCGATCGAAAAAAATTCAAAATTCCCGCCAATTTCGAAATTTAAAAAATTAGGACGTTTTTTTCGTTTTTTTCAGTTCAAAAAAACTTCAAAGATTTCAGCTTTGTAACATATTTTTTTATAATAAATATTTAAAAAAATGAATTTTTTTGTGTTTCAAAGTTTTTCCAGCAGTTTATTCAGCTAATTTTTCGTAATTTTTCGATCTAAAACTTTTCGAATTTCCTGCCAATTTTGAAATTTAAAAAAATTAGTGTATTTTTTTCGTTTTTTTCAGTTAAAAAAACATCAAAGGTTTTTAGCTTTGTCATATTTTTTTATAATAAATATTTGTCGTTTCTTCTAAATTCAAAAAAAGGACTTTTTTTGAGATTTATTAAAGTTCAAAAGTGTATTTCCCCTATTTTTTTCATTTCAAAAAAAATACAGAATTACAGATCTGTTTATACTTACTTTGATACTTTTGATACTTTGATGGTCCATCTTCGCTGATGTTCTCAGCGTGGACCACACGTTCTCCAGGCGGCTCGGTCTTGCGCGACGGTCATCCAGTGGCGGCCTGGCTGACTGATGTTCTTGCGGAAGTAGTCCGTCCATCTGGTCGGTGGGCGCCCGAGTGGGCGCTTGATGTTTCTCGGAATCCAGTGTGTTAATCTCGTGGACCAGCGGTCGTCTTGTCTGCGGATGACGTGGCCGCCCCAACGATGTTTCCCGCGTTGTATGTGCTCTTCTAGATCCCGGATTTGGGATAGTTGACGGAGGTCTGTGCTCCTCTGTTCTTTTTCCACTGCTCGAAGCGAGTGGTGCCGATGAGAGCACGTTCCAGTGCGCGGTAGGAAGTTCGTAGGGCGGTTGCATTTTTTTCTTCGTGTCAGGCCAAACTTCGGTACCGTAGGAGATGGCAGGGATTATCGACGCTTCGAAGATGTGAGCTCGCAGTTTCGGGTCTTTCAGCTGACTGGTGACTTCTTTGATGGAGTTGAAGGCGGCCCATCCAGCGCGTTTGCGTCTGCCGATCTCTGCTTGCAGGTCGTTCACCATGTTTACTTCCCGGCCAAGGTAGATGTAGGATGTGACCTCCTGAAGGTCGCGGCCCTCAAGGGTGACTTTGCCTTGGTCGCAGAAGCGGTTCTTCATCCACTGCGTCTTCTTGACGTTCATCTTAAGGCCGATCTTCTTGCCGACTTCGTCCAGATCGTTCAGCATAGAGGAAAGTTCGGTGGTGGAGCTTGAGAAGAGTACGATGTCGTCGGCGAAGCGGAGGTTTGAGAGGACCTTGCCGTCGATGTTGATGCCTCTGATGTCTGTACTGTCTTCCCAGTCGTGCTCTTCGTCCCATCCAAGTTGGCGCATCGCGTCTTCTAGTGCCGTGGAGAACAACTTGGGGGAGATGGTATCTCCCTGGCGAACACCTTTCCTGATGGGGATCGAAAGCTTCTTGTCGAACAGCTGGATGGTCGTGGACGTTCCCTCGTTGCTGTTGGCGATCAGCTCGACGTACTTCGTGGCGACTCCGGCGGAGGCAAGAGCATTCAAGACGGCGTTGATCTCCACGCTGTCGAATGCCTTGTAGTAGTCGACGAAGGCCAACGCAAGTGGCATCTGGTGCTCCCGGTGCCGTTCCACCACCTGGGTCAAGGCGTGGATGTGGTCGAGGCAAGAGTAGTTGCGTCGGAAGCCAGCCTGCGAAGGCGGTTGGAAGTTGTCGAGTTGCTTCTCTAGTCTGTTGACGATGACCTTGGTGAACAACTTGTAGACGACCGATAAGAGGGAGATCGGTCTGAAGTTGTTCAGGTCGGTGAGGTCGCCCTTCTTCGGAATGAGGATCGTCTTGGACGTTTTTCCATTGTTCAGGAATAGAGGCTTCGCTCAGGTACTTGGAGAAGTGCCGGGCAAGTAGTCGGTACAGCGAGTCTCCTCCAGCCTTCAGCAGTTCGGATGAGATGTTGTCGGGTCCTGCGGCCGTTCCGACCTTCAGCTTCCTGATGGCGTACTTGACTTCTTCGGGAAGGATCGGGGGTTCATCTTCTGGTGGCGGCGTTGGTGTTCTGGGGACGGGAACGTCGCTTCGGAAGAGTTTCGTGTAGAAGTCGACCGTCAGGCGCTCCATCTCGTTCCTTGACGTCTTCAGCTGGCCGTTCTCGTCCTTCAGTGCTGTCATCACCGTTCGCTCGTCGACGAGCTCGAACTTCTTCTTCTTGAGGCTTTGACGTTTCTCAGCTGTCTGAAGGAGTGCACTCCTGCGTCGGTTGGCTAGAGACTCTTGCACGGCCATTCTGCAGGCTTTGTCGATCGTCAGACGTTCCAGGTGCGTGGCCTGCGGGTCTCGTTTGACTTCTCCTCTTCTTCGCAGCAGATCTTTCGCTCGTTGGTCGAGTCGCGGCGGTAGAGACGAGGTTGGTCGAGCTGCAGGTTCTGCACATCTGATGAGGCCATCGCAGAGGGATTCGTAGTCGGCTGTCGGGTCGTCGAGAAGCTGCCAGTCGTGCTCCGAGATCTTCTCCTCCAACGTGGTGATGTCGTAGGTTGGTCTTCTCGGTCTCGATGGCTGGTGGTAGTCTTTCTTCAGGAACTTCTGGTTCAGACGGACCTTGGCGCGAACGAGTCGATGGTCGGATCCAACGTCGAAACTGGGTAGTACGGCAACGTCGAGGAGAGACCATTTCCGATTGGCCAGAATGTGGTCGATCTCGTTGGTGGTGTCTCCGTTGGGCGATTTCCAGGTCCAGCGTCTCTGATCAGGCTTCTCGAAGAGAGAGTTGCCGTGGTAGAGCCTTCTTGAGTCGAGAAGTTCGGCTAGGCGTTCTCCGTTGTCGTTCCGAATTCCGAGTCCGTGCTTCCCGTGACGAATCGAGGGAGTGGCGCACTTGCCCATCTTCGCGTTGAAGTCACCCAGAACGAAGATGTAGTACGCCTTCTCTCGTTGGATCGTTTCCTCGAGCTTCCGGTAGAAATCGTCAAGTTCCTTTTCCTTCTCTTCCCTTTTAGCCTTAGATTCGGCTTCTGGTGAGGTCGGCGAGTAGACGTTGATGATGGTGAGTCTTCCTCGTTTTTCCTAGGTTGAGTCGGAGGATGCCGAGGCGGGCGTTGACGATTTCGTGCGAGTCGACGAGGTGTTGGACCGAGCGATTGACGAGGAAACCGACGCCGCCGACGTTCTTCCCAGGGACTTTGTGGCCGAGGATGAGAAGTTCACCATTTGGCCAAGTCTTACAGCTGGTGTCTTGAGATTTTGTTTCCTGGAGCGCCACTATGTCGATGAGTGCGTTTCGGTTTGCCGCGAGCAATTGCTCTTTTGCTGCATCGGAAGCGAGCGAGCGGCAGTTGAGGGTTCCGAAACGTAGACAGTCACCGTGGCGCGTCCGTAGTCCGTTTCTATGGTATCCTGTTGTTCCGAGATTTGATCGCCCCTCGTCGGCAGAGGCAGCCCCCGATACCGGAGAGGCGCGTGACCGACGGGCGGAGGACTGGGGCCGTCTTGTTGAACGTGTTTTAGCTTTTTTGTGGTCTGGTTATCCTCGTTGCCTTGCCAGGGCTAGGAGGACCGCCCATTCTATTAGCATAAAGCAAGGCGAACTGCGTGACCGGTGTACCGTTAGCCGCCATTTATGACGTTGCCGCCATAAATGGTCGTTGATCCCCATCACCGCGGAGAGGTGGTACATGAAGG